TACAATATTGGATTTCGTACGAGATATTTTCCTGTCGGTATAGTTAGAAAGTCAATACACTCGTGCAGATGTGCCAGAGAAGTAATGATTAGGTTTATGACATAGTATTGCAACATGAATGCAGTTTTTATTATCACTACCTAACTGGAAGCCTTAGTCTGTGCTTTGCGTAATCTTTGTGTTACATACCAAGATTGAGATAATCCACATTCTTGAAGTAGTATACTTTCAACGGACTTTAAGTTCGCACTGTCAGGCATATTGTACACAATGACACTGCATACATTGAAATCTTTGCAATACTTCTAATGGTTTATGGTCAACTAACTTTTCAGTGTTTTTCATAATTTCGAAATAGGAATTATTTGAAACACTGACTAGATATTTTTACGGTAATATGTCGTGAATGGTTTGGATGGGATTAAGTTTAACCTGACTGTCCTTTGAATTGCCACTGCTGAAAGTATTGGAGTTTATCTTAAAGTTTTTACGATCGGCATATTTGCATAAAGGCTTGTCGCAGGTGTCTGTTTAATGGTCACTTTGTGCATCCCTAGTTATAGAATGGAATATACGTTAGAGTGAGTAGTATAAATTTACATTACTGGACTGTTTATAGCAGGCAGTTCCACTTGCAATTTGTGAACCATTCTACAGGGTGTCCGGTTGTGGATTTGCTGAGCGTTTGGAGTTAGCAACACTTTCTAAAAACTGCACACAACAAGTGACGCTTTTGTGTGGACTGTGAGAATTAATAAGTGATGTCGATTCAAACAGATTGTGGCTGCTCATATTTTTATTTATAAGCGAGATGCAGGGTAGTGATATATCATACCTATGTACATGGTTCATGTTTGATATAGCGACAGAAATGTCAGAGTACGATGTGGACGCATCAGCGTGTTTATATAGCTTTACATCGTTCATTTTGGTGAGTGGTTTAGATGTTTCGCAAGTGCTACAAGCATCAGGAGAGATTGTGTGTACTTTAAATGACCTGTGAGAAAATTGATGAAATGTAAATGTATGTACAGTTTGTATTACCTTAACGGCTACAGTAAAAACATAAGCGAGACTCTAATATACGGACGAGCCAATCAGAAGCGTTTCAGAAATTCCAAGGTAACGGCGCCAGCTGATGTCAGTTCGTGATGAAGACTCCATATGTAATTCATAACTAAAGCAAATCACGACAATTATTGCGAACTGGATAATAAAAGCACCAGTAACACTGGCTGCAGCCAGGTACTACAATATATACGGATGTTTGGAGAGCGTACAGACTCCTACGTAGGCTTGGTTATGCGCATTGTGTCGTTATCCACATATAGCATTTGTGCACTCAACAACCGGAGTGCACATAAACAATATTGGAGCTTGTGGTCGAGGCTGAAAGAGTTTTTGAGACTTTATCATGACTCCAGAGGCCGACTATTCTGTAGCCGTATGGATTATTACCTCTACTGCATGCATTATGATTTTAGAACCTCTGAACCTCTTTCTAACCTCGACAAGTTTTTGAACCACGTATAAGAACTGTATCCACTTTATTCCCTTGGTTTCGTATAACAAATTTTTACTCTATACTGACTGTTTGCTGATTAGCTAGTATTTCTCAGGGTCACTTAAGATTCGTTCAGATGTCGTCCATAAATTAGAGTCTCGTCAAAACTTGACTTAATATATGGTAAGTGTTCGATGATAGGATTGAATCGAGCATGTGTTTAAAGATAGTATATGAACGACAAGAAGTGTAAAGAGTGGAACCCAACGGACCAAGTACAGAAAAGCTCATTAAAAATATTTGATTTTTTGTGGAGATTTTTTTCTCCGAGCTGGATGATCAAAAACACTGGAAAAAACTCAAATTCCACATATAAAAAAATAAACCAATCAAAGACCGCGCAGCACCAAACAATATCAGCGTTGGACAAAACATGACCAAAATTCAGTCGATCGTCGAGGTTGCAAATTCCGCTATTCTCCAAATGGAACAGGCCAACTCGATACCGCAGAAACCTCTGTCAATTTCGAATTAGATGGAAAAGTAACAGCTTCGTAGAAATGTCTGGAAGTTTAATGTAACGGTAAAAAAGAATAGAATATGTAAGGAAACCTGGATGTATGCGATTCTGGAGGTAATGACATTACATATGCATATATTTACATATACCTATATATATAAACATTATATAATAATTTCAAACAGACCTGAAGTAGTTCTAGGATAAATACCGGTGGATGGAGAGTGCTGGTAGGCGGCTTGTGCTCCTCCATGAGGGGTGACAGGCGCAAGTAATAAGACGACGTCTTCAATATATTTCGTCGGCCTTTGGTTTCATGTGTTCGAATAACTATGACGCTCATCGCACAACGATTTTTTGGCCTAACATGAATAACAACAGGAAGGGTTTTGTGTAAGCTACCAGTAATCGAAGGTCTTTCGACATTTATGAACTTTCAAACCCTCGACGTTCGATTCGACTTGGCAAAAACCTAACGAACTTCAAATGGTCCGTCTCACTTGATGGCTAGGAGCGGTTACTGTCAATGATATTACCGTCGAAACAGTGGCCTGTAGTGGCATTGAATAATAACCGCACAATCCGCAAAGCTGAACACGAGACTACTCAGAAAATAGATATTCAATATTTAACGCGGATAAATACCTAACATGGAGAAGGCGCGAACTATGAATTAAATGGACTGGGGTTGATCGAGTGGCATGGCTCGGCCATGCAGGCGTGGTCCCTGCTGGATGTTATCTTATATCTCCTATTCATATTAAATATATTGTTCTTTCTCTAGCCTAAGCTTGTTTTTCATCATGTATTGGTAGTTGTTACGATACGGTGAGTTGGTGTAGTCGATGATGTGACTTCCACGTAAGATCTTATAGATTAGGCAGTTATATCATGACAAATCTACAATTTTAGGATTAGGTCTATTGTTAGAGCAGTACTAATATCATAGTAGACCATAATTCTACAGGCCTACGCCTTCGTCGAACGACAGGTAGAAAACTCTGGCAGTCCTCCAAGTACCACTTCAGACCGTGTACGCGTTTGAATCTGAAACTTTCACTATTATACAATGCTTTTAAGAATGAAACAATTAGAATTAACTGCATATAATCTGCAAGTCTATGAGTTGGTAGTAGTAGAATTTCACCGACACATAAATGCTTCAACTTCAACTGCAAGCATGCCACAATGAACTTGCGCCACTCTACTCGCGTTACTTGAAATTAGCAATGCAATGAATGTCGACCAAAAACTCTACACGAACAGGCTCGCAAATGCGTTGGGTTCAGTAAATTCTATCTCCACTTCACTACAGTAAAATGATGTTCCCTCAACCCTCCTTACTGTTTACTACACACGTTTTAACATGTTATAATTCATTAGTGCTGCAAACGACGAACAATTTTAACTTATACACAATGAGAAGTCATTAAGAGGTGATATACTCGCAAAAGGTCAAGACAGATTGAAGTGAAGAGGTAACAGGTACTTGAAGTTCAAAAACGCTTCTACCCGTGAGACCTTTATGATCGAAACGTACCAACTAGGCCAAACCAGAAGTAATAAATGAATGAGTCCGAAGATATATCCGGAAAGCCATTGATGTATCATGGATTGTTTGGTCTAAGCTGGTTGCTAGTGGAAAGGGATTCGTAGCATGGCGTACCCACACGCGATCTGGTGTGAGTACATGACTAGGCACCTTCAAGTAGGGTGCGCCCAGTAAGACTAATGAAATCAACACCAATTTCTAAGACTTACCGAACAATTTATTTTGGGAACTTGTATGCCGCAATAGATGCATGATTTATAGAAATAAACTGGACTTTGTCCTTCTAAACTTAATCCATGTTAGAAATATGTAGTGGACAGTCATCATAAGACATTGATCCAACGATTAATTGCAACGGTACTATATACCTTTTTACATTTTCTTGCAAACAGTAGTCGAGATTTGGTATTCAATGATATAACAAATAGGATAGTGAAGCTGATCATTTGAATCTTCAAGCTGAGTTGGACGATTTAGTTAGATGGGCTCGATGTTGGGGCATAGAAATCAATTCTAGGAATAGTATGCTTATGCACATCGGTCATGGTAATAGTTAACGCTATACTATTGATGGTAAACCTCTTCCATGCGTTCAAGAACATAAAGACTTAGGAGTAATAATAAGTCATGACTTAAAAACAACTACGCATTGCAACACAGCCGCTGTCAAAGTTTTTCGTGCGTTACGGTCACTTCGAGCGTTCAAATCTTTTGACGAGGATATACTTCGAATTTTATATCCCACACATGTAAGACCACGTTTTGAGTACTGTATCCAAGCAGCTAACCCATTTTTGGCAAAGGATACTAACTCGCTTGAGCGTGTCCAGCGTGTGGGAACGAAACTAGTCAAAGGTCTTCCTAAACTCCCTTACGATGAGCATTTAAAACGCCTAAACATTTCCCCTTGTCGTATCGTAAGAGGCGATGTGACCTTATACTGGCATTTCGTACCTTTAATTATGATTTGGGTGTTAGTATGTTTGTCTTTTTGCTCCCAACAGCATTAATAATCTCCGAGAAGGTTCACAAACTACGATCTAAAAAACTTAAAGTGGGGTCCCATTTTTCTCATTGAGCAGTCAGTGACTAAAACGCCTTACCCGAACGAGTGGTATCAGCCTCATCAGTCAATATCTTCAAGGAGAAGCTGGACCTTCACTGGAGGGCAAACTGTCAAGATTAACACAGGTTCACCAACCTACTATCCTTATCACTGAAAACTGAAGACTGTGAAAACACACCCGTTTGCCCCATGATATCAGACTAATCAATGAATAGATGTCAGAAGAAAAAGTTGTTAACAGGAATATCTATTGCAAGAATTTCAACATATTAAGAGAATTATTATCTTAATAACTGTAGACCAATTGAATCTTTGAAAAATTAAGTGAACGATTTGTCGTTGAAGCTACAGTAACTTAATGGACAACGGTGATATCAATCTTGAAGAAGGGGAGCTTGATGTAGATCTCAGCGATGAGGAGGGATGCAAGTTGAAAAATGAAAAGTGAGCACAAATATCGTTGACCTAAAATTTCTTCAGTGATTTAAGAAAGGAAGAAAAGCTAGATAAAGAAGCTGAAGTAAAAAAGCACAAGAAGAAAGAAAAAAAGGCTAAGAAGGAAAAGAAGCATAAGAAGAAAAAGAAAAAACATAGGCATGACAACAAGGAAAAATGGTACTCTTCGTTAATCTTACCTTTAGTTCTATTAATAATGGTGATGTTGTTCAACCGCCTGTGAATGAAGCAAAAGTAGAAGATCTTGGAAGTCCCAAAAAAGAAATTGATGACGTCCCATATGTTCCAAAACGCGTTCCTATCTCTCTGGAGGAGCTGATTTTAAAAAGGAAGGCGGAAGAGGCAGAATTAATCAAACCGAAATTTATATCTAAGGAGGAGCGTATTCAGCAAGCCATCCAAAGAAGACAAGCTGAAGTTCAAGCTCAACGTGAAAAACAGATGGAGGCCTTCAAAAAACAGACGGAATATCTTGAAGGGGCTAAAGGTTACACGCTTGTCTATTGTTATGCTTTTAGATCTGGAACGAAAGAGACGCGCAGAAGATTTTCAAGAAAGAATGAGGCAGCACAGAAACTTTAGAAATACTGGCAAACGAGCAGCTCAAGAAGAAGGTCTAGGTGATAAGGTAAACATTTCACAGGAAGAACAAGCTATCAAAGAGCGCTACTTGGGTCAAAAGCGTCTGACTAAGCGTCGACCGAGGCGACTTAATGAGAGGAAATTTGTATTTGACTGGGATGTCGCCGATGATACTAGCCAGGATTACAACCCGCTTTACAAAGAAAAGCATCAAATCCAGTTTTTTGGCCGTGGACATATTGGTGGTATTGATATTAAGGTAATGAAGTGTTTACATTCCTCACAATTATCAGCAACAAAAAAAAGAAATTGGACGCTTTTACTCAAAGCTGTTAGAAAGCCGCCGTTCTGACACCCAGAAAGTTCAAGAAAAGTAACTGATCATTCGGTTTTTCTTATGGTTTAGGAAACGTCTAAGTGGTGTGGCAAAGCGTGAAGCTAAGCAGAAATGGGATGACAGGCACTGGACAGAAAAGGCCCTTGATCAGATGACTGAACGCGACTGGCGAATCTTTCGCGAAGATTTTAATATATCTACCAAGGGAGGTAACATTCCAAACCCCCTCAGGTCTTGGGCGGAAATGAATGTTGCTGATGAACTTAAGGATGTTATTAAAAAGGTATAGATGTTAGCCCAGTTTCATATTCCCTTTAGGTTGGCTATCCTGAACCAACACCAATTCAACGCCAAGCAATACCAATAGGTCTGCAAAACCGTGATATTATTGGTGTTGCAGAAACAGGTTCAGGGAAAACAGCAGCTTTCCTTATACCCCTGTTGAATTGGATTCAGCGACTTCCAAAACTGGAGAGACTTGAGGTAATTTAAGCTCCTTATTAATCAGTTATTAAAAGGACACAGAGCAAGGACCATATGCTATTATTATGGCTCCTACTAGAGAGTTGGCACAGCAAATTGAGGAAGAAACAGTAAAATTCGGTCGACCACTGGGAATCAAAACTGTTTCGTTAATTGGTGGCCTCTCGCGTGAAGATCAAGCATTAAAGCTCCGAATGGGCGCAGAAATAGTTATTGGTACTCCTGGTCGTTTAAATGATGTCCTAGAAAACCGGTATATGGTACTCAACCAATGTACCTACATCGTTTTGGATGAAGTAAGTACTGATATTTTAAAACAGTCAAAGTCGGACAGTTTTTGTTTTTTTTGTTATTGAATGATTGTCTAGTAGATGTAAAGCTAACTTACACCTGTCACCCCTCATGGAGGAGCATAAGCTGCCTACCAGCACTCTCCATCCAACCTTGTCCTGGGCAATCCTTTCCAGCTGCTATTTATTCTTTTCATGTCTGCTTCTGATTTTTGACGTAGTGTGCTCATTGATCTTCTTCCTTTCCCTTTACCTTCAGAATTCCAAGTTAGCACTTACTTCACGGTGCAGTTTGATGATTTCTCCAATGTGTACCCTATCCACTTCAAACGCCTTTTTCTAATTTCCTCCTCAGTTGGAAGCTGGTTTGTTCTCTCCCATAGTGGGCTGTTGCTGATGTTATCCGGCCGACGAACATTCAGTGTCTTACGTAAACAATTGTTTATAAATACTTCTACCCTTTTGATGATGGTTGTGGTAGTGATTTGGTCTGTGCACGACCGATCCTTACGGAATCCAGCTTGTTGATCTCGAAGTTGAACGTCTACTGAAATCTTTCATGTGGTTCAGCAACGCACTGTTAAAAACCTTTCCTGATGCTCAGAGTTTCAATAGAGACCTATTCCTTGTGACGGTGCTTGTTGTGGTCCAGAACCCCCTGACACGTTAAAGTCAATGCTTCTTTGATCCCTCTCCTGTTGTCTTCCATAGTAGTTTCGCATTCTTCGAGTAATTCTTCCAAGGCTCGAAAATTATTGCTGAGAGTTATCTTGAATTCGTCGAGCTTGTATCTCGAAAGAGGGCTGTATGAAGCCTTTTTAATGCTGCTTATCCAGTTGTCCGGTGCTTCTTTAGCTTCAGTTCCATCTTAGCCACAGCCAGGTGGTGATCTGAAGCTATGTCAACTTCTCTCCTGGTTCTCACGTCTTCCATTGTCTTTCTGAAGTGTTTTAGTCACCCCGATCTAGTTCTCTGTAGTGTGGTCGAGTGAGATCCATGTAGCTTTGTGCATGTGTCTGTGTGGGAATGTTGTACTACCTATAACCAATTTGTAAGTTTCTCACCATTCTTGTCCGTTTTTCCTAGTTAGTCCATGTCGTCTCATGATATCTTCATACCTGGTGTCGTCCATTCCGACTTTAACATTTAAGTCTGTCATCAGAATGTTCAGGTTCTTTGCTGTGTTTCTTCGCGATCGATTGCAGCCTTCTGTAGAACCGATCTTTATCATCGTCATTACTATAATTGGTGTGGGCATAATGTTGAGTAATATTCGTCGTAATTCCCTCCTTTGTTTTGAATGATGCTTTGATGATCCTGGATTCATGAGATTCTCATTTTATGAGTGCTCTTCGTGCTTCTTTGGACAGCATCAGTGCAACTGCTTTGTGTACGAAACATGTTTTTCTTTGTGACCAGAGTACAACAGCATCTCTCGCGTACCTAACGTTTGCTGTCCAGCTTGGGTTTAATGGGTTTCACTGATTCCGAACACCGCTCATTTGTATCTCCTCATTCCTACAGCTATTTGATTGGTCCTTTCTGTCTCCCATATTACCTGGACATTCCATTTGCCTACGTTAGTCGTTGTTCTGGTTGTAAGAAAAGGCGTCGGCCTCGTGACCTCCGAAGGATCTGGGCTTTCAACAAGAGGTGTCAGAATTCTTCCTTCAACTTGGAGGGCCGAGCGTAAATGGTTTAAGTTGTTAGCGTTTTTGGCAAGATTGTTTTCTATGCGATAGAGTTGCTGACCCCATGCACAACCATTCTCCTTTACCAGGTCTAGTGACCGGTAGTCACCCTAGAGGACCTACAGTCCTAGTTGGCCCCCAAACGCCCTGGTGCGGCCGAGAGTGGGGAGAGTCTGCTCTCCCTCTCGAAATGCTCTCACATGGCCACGCGTATATAGCCTCTGCCAGGGAAGTCCTACTCATTGCCTTCTCGTGGCGGGGGTATTGTTTACGAAAATGAGAGGATGAAAAGCGAATGTCCGGCGCTTTAACCGGATTCCAAACCAATGGTGCACATGGGCTCCAGTATCCTGCGGGAACAAATGGCGTTTGGACCAATCGTTGGTCACCGGCTTCCATGGGACTGCATCTCCTTACGATGCTCCACTGCCTTATGGATCAAACCTTCAGGTCGAAGGCTCGGGGAGTGGCCCCCTAAGAAAACCACCTGTTTCGGTTCGGGCACCCGGGCAGTATCACAGCCCTCACACATATCGAATAAGATGTGTGGCGCATATGTATTTGGTGCCTCATTGTACCAATATCTGTGTGTTAAACTAAAAATAACAGTCCTAGTTAGAAATAAAGTGGTATTTTGCGATGATAAATTGCATGTTTATGTAAATCGACATACCATGATATGTGCCTTCGCCATCTGATTGTAAATGTTTATGAATTTTATTTATTTCTGACGTTTTTAAATTAACAGGCTGATAAAATGATTGATATGGGTTTCGAACCTGAAGTCAACAATATTCTCACATATTTACCAGTTACAAATGAAAAACCTGATAATGAAGATGCTGAGGATGATTCGAAGCTATTAAGCAATTTTGCAACAAAACATAAGTATCGTCAGACTGTCATGTTCACAGCCACCATGCCTCCAGCAGTTGAACGTCTTGCTCGTTCCTATTTAAGGCGACCTGCAATGGTGTATATTGGAAGTGCTGGTAAACCCACAGAACGAGTGGAACAGATTGTTTATATGGTTTCAGAACAAGAGAAGAGGTAGTTTTTTCATACTGATAATAATCAAATGTTTATAGCTAAGTCGATTTCCTTTTGGTTATAAATTCAAATATTCCAAGACTAACAAATCTGACACCACTTTTACTTACATGCTCCAGATTCTTTTTTACATTGGTTTTCGGTAGTGTCGCGAATCATTAGTACAATTGATAAATTGCAGCAGGCACTTATAAAACCGTATTTATTGAAAATTTAATCTTAATATGTTGTGCTCGCTCTGATTTATAAGAAACGATTTTAGTCATGTCGATAATTCTTGTGGAGAACTGACTGCTAGGCCAAAGACAGATCCAATCTATTTTTATTGAATGTAATAAAACTAGTTACTTTATCAATAACAAGTATATTAATCTTCACGACTTCATTGTCTCTATATCTATGATGAGTGCTGAAGACGGGAACTTTCATTTTAACATCTGTTATCCTGTTAACATAATTTGTTAATGAGCTCCATACCTGTATTTCGATTTACTGAAAGAAAAGTACAGTGTCCTAATCGATTAATAGTACATACATACTTTCTGTCTCCATTAAAATACCAAATGTTGCTTCAGAATTGTTCTGCGTGAACTTATGGTAGGGAGTGGAGTTGTTGAGCGTATCGACCACTTCGTAAAGATTTTATCACCTCTTGTGGGTTTGTATCTGAAGAAACAATATTTAGACAAATTATACCAATATATGAAGTTGTGAAAAGTATCACATAATATGGACTTATGTTTTGATGTTTATGAACTGGGAGAAATAGCTTCTGAACAATTATTATTAACGGATTCCCGTTGTCTTTATGCGTTTCCTTAGATCTATTTTTCTCATTCAAAAGTGAGTTATTACAAATTGTTTTTAGAGACTAAGTATCTTAAACTACAAGTTCTTGTAGGCCTAGAAATTGGATTATTTAGTTTGTTGCTACATGTAGAGTTTTATCCACGAACGCCTTAACATCAAAATGACTTTAATTTCATTTTTGCAGGAGAAAACTATTAGAAATACTTGCTGCAGGACTTGATCCACCTGTAATCATTTTTGTCAATCAGAAAAAAGGCGCAGATGTACTTGCTAAAGGACTAGAAAAACTTGGATACAGTGCTGTTGTTCTACATGGTGGCAAAGGACAGGAACAAAGAGAATATGCCTTGGCAAGTTTAAAGTCTGGTCAAAAGGAGATCTTAGTTGCAACTGATGTTGCCGGTCGTGGTATTGATATCAAAGACGTGTCAATGGTTATAAACTATGACATGTCTAAAACTATTGATGGTAAGCTAATAATTCTTTCGCTATTTACTTATATTATTGATTTGTTTAAACTTAGACATTCATACAAGGAAACATCAAATATACATGTGGCACACAAGTCATCTGGTTTGTGTGAGGGCTGGTTTTCTCAAGGGGCTATTCTTAGAGCCTTTGACCTAAAGGTCTAATGTACAAGACAGTGGGGCGACGTAAGGAAATGCACTCTCATGGTAGTCGTTGAACAACAATAGGTTCATACGCTTTTTGTTTCCTCAGGATCCTGGATCGCACATGCACCATAGGTTTGAAATCAGGGCTTTCGAACCCCCTATATGTGTCCCCCGTATCCACCATCCTGGTTAAAGCACCAGAAATCCGCTTTTCGGCCTCTAACTTTTGTAGAAATACCCCTTGGCTCGAGAAGGCAGTGATTAGGACTTCCCTGGCAGCGGCCGTATACGCGTGGTCATGTGAGAGCATTTTAAGAGGGAGAGCAGTCTCCCCACTCGCGGTCATACCAGGGCATTTGGGGGCATTTACTTTGATACATTCTGCACTCGATATAATAGTGGTATTTAAATTAGTTAGTTGTCTTAATTTTCAATTGTAAAGTCATATAACTCTTCAAAGTCTGAGATGCATTTTATCGTTGACAGATCACTCTTCTGGTGTCAAGTCATTGTTAGAAACTCTTCTACATACTGTATCAAAGGGTGTTATGGTACAAACATAAGCTAAACATTCTTTGCAGATATCACATCTTCAGTGATTTTGAATGGTGGGCTTTAATCTCAACACGACTGTCATTCAGGGATCCTTATAACCTGAGTGAAATAACTTTGATATTTATGATGACGCCATAGCTTTGTCTTCTTAGAAAACCTTTGTGTTACATGTCTCAATGACCTGGTCAGTTTCGTCCCTCTTCTTTCTTGAATTATTGTTGACAGTATGTATGACCTCAAATTTACCTTCTCTGTAACTAAATGTAGGGACTGTTCAATACACTTATATGTGGCTTTTGGACACATATTTCTTGCTCATTCATGTAAATATCCCGACCGTTGTTGCTACCTTGACGTGGTGGTCGGGCTTGCCTATCGTGATGAAGCAACTGAGCTATACTGGCTGGAACAACTGTTCCTCAAGGTCCTACCATGTCAGACAGGTCGGTTGAAGAGCGGTAAGACTGAAAGCAACAAACCCAAGGTCCGAAGGCGAAGTCGTACTGCTGACTGTACAGAGGTGTGACAGCAGTAAGGTGTTTCCTTCAGACAACCAGCATGACAGCGATGCTGCCTTCCCACAAGGAGGGGTGGGGTTAGAAAAGGTCGACCCTAAAAATGCACACCTCGCCTTATCCCACGGATATCCATCTCCGGCGGTAAGGTCTCAATAAGTACGGAGCTAACACAAAAATTACCCATAACAAGGTCGTGTGTGACCGACCTCAAGCAGTTGTCCCTTGGGCACTGCGGTCACGCTCTCAGGTCACTAAGACCACCTTTAATCCAATTTCCTTTTCAGGTACCTTCAGAAGAACCCTTCCACGGTGTGGGCAACCGGGAAGTGATAACCGCCCTCATACCTCTAACAGCACTCAAGACCACTGTATTCATAATCAACCTTCCTCTTCAATTCCTATTATTCCTCCTACATCGACTTTCAACTTTAAATTTCCTCTCTCGGCTTCCACCTCAAGTGTCACCATAGCCAACGATTCTAGTGCTCAAAACACTGTCCCAGGTCTACTGAAACCTCGCCTTCAACGTACGAACCCTATGTCAAATCGGTCAGCAGGCTTCCTTGGCTAAAACCCTAGAGTCTCTTACCATTGACGTGTGCTGTGTCTCCGAAACACGCATACAGGATTCCAGTGTGGTCATTCACTTGACCTCACCTCGGCAAAACGGAGAGCCAACGAGGTACACCCTTCGTGTATCTGGTGACCCGATGGCAAGTTCTCGTGGACTGGCAGGTGTAGGCATAGCACTAGGCATGAGGGCGGAACAAGCACTGCTAGAGTGGATCCCCGTCAACAGTCGTTTATGTGCTGTTCGGCTGAACGGCTACGTAAGAACTCGGAAGGATAGGGACACACGTCGTTGTCTTTTTGTCGTTTCTGCCTACGCTCCCACCGACTGCAGCTCAGATGAAGTGAAAGATGAATTTTACAGAAAGCTGTCCGAACTTCTTCAGAAAGCTAAACGCTCAGACATAGTACTCGTAGCAGGTGATTTTAATGCTCAGATAGGCAGTTTAAACCAAACAGAAAGGCATTTAGGTGGATATTTTAGTATTCCGACACAGCGAACAGATAATGGTGATCGTCTGCTGCAACTGTGCTCAGACAATCATTCATTTTTAGCAAACACAAATTTTAAGCATAAGGAGAGACATCGTCTAACATGGTGACTCCCTACACCAAACCAACGATGGACTCAAATAGACCATATTGCCATCAGTCATCGTTGGAGAGGGTCGGTACAGGATTGTCGCTCATTCTGGAGTACCTGCTTGGACTCCGACCATGCCCTAATACGGGCACGCATCTGCTTGCGCCTCACTGGACGCAGAAAAGCCACATTAAAAAGACCCGTTAGAACTGAGTTGAGTAACGAGAAAACCAAAAGTAGGTTCCAGGAACAACTGAGTTCACAATTAGGTAGTTCTGAAAATGAGGTTGACCCAGATGTTGCTTGGAAAGCTATACCAACAGCTGTGGAAACAGCAGTGACATCTATTAGCAACTTAAACCACAGAGTTACAAAGAACCATTGGATTTCTTCAAAGTCTATCACACTGATGGATTCTCGCAAACTCGTCCCATCAGGTTCTGAACATGCTGAAGAGCGAAAACAAATCAGATCTAGGTTAAGAAAAAGTCTAAGAAACGACCGTGAGCAGTGGTGGGCATCGAAAGCAAAAGAGATGGAAAAGGCGGCGACTATAGGGAACACAAGACAGCTTTACAGACTAATAAAAGAAACTGGAATTAATAAGTCAAGTGTAAGTGAGATTATATCGGAAAAAGACGGTACACTCATCTGCTCTCAGTCCAGACGTTTAGAACGATGGGCGGAACATTTTAGAGAACAGTTCAACTGGCCTTCAGCTACTCTACAACTACCCTCCATTCCGAGACAGTGTGAATGGAACATTGAAGTAGGTCCCCCAACTCTTGCTGAAGTTCAAAAGGCTATAGTTAATCTGAAACGAGGAAGGGCAGCTGGTCCAGATGGATTGGCTCCAGAGGTCTTTAAGGATGGTGGTCCAATTTTAGCGATTAAGTTGACTAATATTTTAGCTAAGATCTGGGAATTAGACTTTATCCCATCTGACTGGTCGCAATCACTTATCGTCCCAATATATAAAAAAGGGTCAAAATCATCTTGTGACAACCACAGAGGGTTTAGTTTAACAAACATAGTATCTAAAATACTGGCCTCGATAATTATCAGACGCCTAACTAAGACTCGTGAACTACAAACTCGAGAGAATCAAGCTGGCTTCAGACCTGGTCGTGGCTGCATCGACCACATATTCACCATTCGTCAGGTTCTAGAACACAGGCATACCTATCGGCGTCCGACGATGGTGGTATTTCTTGACCTAAAAGCAGCATTTGACTCGGTAGACCGCGAGACTCTGTGGCAGTGTCTGTCATTGAAAGGCGTACCCCAGAAGTACATAAACCTTGTGAAGGCTCTTTACTCGAACACTACTAGTCGAGTCAGGGCTTATGGCGAACTGTCATCTGCTTTTGCAACCTCAAGTGGTGTCCGTCAATGCTGTCCACTTTCCCCATTTTTGTTTATCTTCATCATAGACCTATTGATGGAAATAACTTTCTCGTCGACTGAGTTCTCGGGTATTGATCTCCATCCAGGAGGTCCACTTATCGACTTAGAATACGCAGATGACATAGTCCTGTTTGGTGAAGACGCTGACAAAATGCAGTCTTCTGGTAGCACTGAGCAACAATGCCAGGATGTTTGGAGTGCGCTTCTCTCCCTCTAAATGCAAGTTGTTGCTTCAGGACTGGTCTGGGTCAACACCTGAACTAAGGATAGGGAGTGAAGTAGTTGAACGCGTTGACAACTTCACTTATCTTGGAAGTCTGATCAGCCCTAATGGGTTGGTGTCTGACGAAATCTCAGCACGGATTCGAAAAGCTCGTTTGGCTTTTGCAGACTTACGTCACCTGTGGCGAAGGCGAGATATCCGTCTATCAATAAAAGGACGAGTATACTGCGCGGCAGTTCGTTCTGTTTTAATTTACGGCAGCGAAACATGGCCATTAAGAGTAGAAGACACTCGTAAGCTATTAGTATTTGACCACAGATGCCTTAGAAATATTGCTGGCGTCTGCTGGGATCACCGGGTAAGTAATAGTGAGGTTAGACTCAGGGTATTAGGGAATGATGGTAAATCAGTTGATGAGGTTATAAATCTTCATCGACTGAGATGGTTGGGCCACGTATTACGTATGCCCGAACACCGATTACCACGACGTGCAATGCTAACCGGAGTAGGGGATGGTTGGAAGAAAGTTAGGGGCGGCCAAACCAAAACGTGGCATCAGTGCCTGAAGTCACTAACTTCTAGTCTGAGCCATGTTGGTAGATGCAGACTACTTGGTTGGGGTCCGCGTGACTATCGTAACCAATGGTTGGAGATTCTGGGTGACATGGCTCAGAATCGATCACAATGGCGTCGGTGTATACACTCCCTGTCTTCCCTTAAACTAAGAGACTAAAATCACTTCATTCTTTCTGTCTACGAACTAATTCTTTCTTCCTATACTATATCCTTATTGCAACCTTTGACCTAACCACTGCTATGAATCCGGTGTTCATCTTGTTGTGCTGATGCGGTATGGCAACCTGGATCGATGCACATATGTGCCTGGTCCTACGTTGTAGCTGACTGACTGACTGACTGACATGTAAATATATCTAAGTCCCTAATTGAAATGTTTGTGCGATTATTTACATGAACTCAGCATAACTTTATTTAATGATTAGTAAGTTTTACATTGCGTGTTTCTCTGCTTAGAATATGTACATCGTATTGGGCGTACTGGACGCGCTGGTAAATCTGGTATTGCAATCTCACTACTTACGAAAGAAGATGCCCCTGTATTTTATGATTTAAAACAATTATTAATTCAATCTCCTGTGTCAACGTGTCCTCACGAACTTGCCAATCATCCGGATGCTCAAACAAAGCCAGGTATACTAGCTGCGAAAAAACGACGCGCAGAAGAGACAGTTTACATAACATAAAGAAATGGACTTGATTTTCATTGTCTGCAATTTTTATGCTGGTTTGTAAATACAGAGTATATTTCAACAAGTATTCATTCCATCCTATCGTTTTTGTACGTTTGTCCCACTTTTTCAGTGTGTTTGTACATAAAAGCATAAATTTTTGATAAAAAGCTGACACTTGCTGTTTTTTGTCAACTAGTGGTGGGTCCCGTCATATTTTCTCGCTGCAGAAAGGCATATTTAAAGTTAACGCTTAATATAGTTTTAAGCACGTGCTAATAATAGTCAAAATATCAACTCATCAGTTGTTTAACGTCAGTGGTATTACAAACCCATAAAAGTGAAATAGATAGTCGAACGCTATACATTGAATCATTATCCACAACCTAACTGCAAACGATTGGCTAGTGATTCTGTTCGTGTCCAGCATTTCGGCGGTGTCTTTTTTGAATAAAGAATAACTGTTTGTCTTACAAAGTTGTCTTTCTGTTCACTTTTCAATCGTCAGCACAGTTCCTTAAAAAGAGAACAATATTTTTTGGAAGCTTGTAACTAGTTTCATATAGACTGTTCTTAAACCCTGTGATAGCAAAACTAACCATTCTAATATACTTGAAGAATATAATAATTAGTCTGAACGTACAGGTCGTCGGCGTATTTGTATATCTACTGATTATTTCTTCTATCGTAACATTTCAGTCATAGGGTTGTCGTTTTCCGAGATGTCTCGTCAGATGTGTTTCGGAGCATTTAACACCTTTAGTAGGTGAAAAATTCTACATGAGCACTTATTAGAATCATGGTTGTTGAATTTAACTACAAAATCGCAAAGTATGAACACCTGATAATTGCTTTTCCCAAAAACTAAGACAAAATGTATCGACGCTTGTTTACAGTTCCGACTAATTAGCTAATCGCAATTTTTTAAATCTTTGTAAAGGACAATAGCGACACATTAAGGGAAATGTTAAGATTTTAAGTACAACAATGAGTGTGAATATGGAACTAGTTAACACCCTCTGTTAAGCGCGTAATGCTTCACATTTAAAAATGAGGCAGTATTTGATAGAAAAATCGGGGAAATTATATCAACCTTGGTGTTTATAGATGTGAAGTGTTTGTGTCTGATATATGGAGAATTGTATTAACGTCACTAACTGATTTCTGAATCATCATTTACATTCAAGTCAACTAATCTTGAGCCTGACCATTTTTTTTCAAACAAAGTTAAACAAACCAAAATTTTCACAACTATTAACGAAGAAATGTATATTGTCATTATTGTAAAGAGATAACACAGGTCTATTCTCTATTATATTTGCCAAAATCCATGGATAGATGTCAACAACTAAGACGAAAACTGTCCAATCAAATCGATTCACAAGACTGGATTTCTTATAATATTTTTTATACTACTTAAAGTAAACAAATTCTTTATGTGAATAAACTGCTATACTGTGAACTATATATACTTATCCACAACCACGTAACAATGATTTTAACATATGGCTGGATATCTTGCTTGTTTGAGGTCAAGCTTATCAATGGCATGACTGGAAGTCTGCTAAGATGAAAGTATACATTGAACTTCTTGAAGCAGATGAACTAAATAGGAAGTGCCACTACACAAAATTAGGTTGATGATTTCTATTTACTCGTTTTAACTTTAATAATTATGTAGGATTTCATCAAACACATTGATGTGTAGGCGAGAATGAGAATGATTGGTTGTCTGCTTAGTCAGACATGCAGATGGTCTGACAGGTGTCAGATGAGTTATATATTCCCTTATCCTTATTATTATTACAACTCACACATTATTATTGGGTTGTATTGGGTTTTGGTGTGGAGATACATTAACGTTGTGATCACGCGTTCTTGATCTGAGTTGTGTTGACGTCCTGTAGAATAGACACTGGGAGGGAATCTAGTGTAGATAGTCATTTAAGGTAAATTAACAACCCATACGTGGAAACCCAACCGTTATAACATTAGACGAAGTAAAACCGAGCGTTATAACACATAGTTTATTTTAGATTGCTGTATAATATCATTAAATGATTTATATATTACTCAAAAAAGAGGAAAATATTGTAGACATATAGTGTATAATGTGTTATATCGTACCTAAAACAGAAAATATCAATCATTTTCTTTAATGTCACGTTAATAAAAATGGGAACAAGAGGCTTTTTAAATATTATAGATTCAAATAATCGCATATTTTCCTATTTCTCATTGTACCGGTTATCGCTTTATAAATTATGAGTAGGTCTGAATCATTTCAATTGGTAGAATATTGGAGATATGATGCTTTGCAACTAGTGTAGGTCACTTCCTCAGTGAATAAATAACTTCAAATTAATACAAATTTAGTTAGCATAAAAAACAATTATTTAGTACATAGACTTAGGTGTTGTGGTGTGGGCTACTGATGTCAACAGATATAAGTAATATTTATTACCAGTCGAAAGTGTAATGTCTGGCGGCAGAAGGTTGAGAAAATAGAAGAGAAAACAACGAGAGTGATCAGTATGGAAACGAAGGAACAACAAGGTTTGAGATAATTGATGGATATTTTGCAAATGAAGTATTACTGTATGTTTCTCAGATTTTTCTATCCGATTCTGTAATACTGTTCTCCAATACATTTGGTTGTAATCGCCTGTGTTCTCGTTAACTACATGTGACTATAATAAAGCCTATTAATTTACTTTAGGGGTGATTCCATAAAAGGTAAGTCTCTTGTGTTCACATGCATCATATAGTTCTTCTTACATAACTAATTTACCAAACTGCTTTTCTAATTGTTTTGCAAGCGTTTTGTGAACTGTTTCAACTTATTTGTCCAATCATAATTTTGAACATTAAAATCACCCAGTTTCTCTACCTTGAAAATATCTGGTTTCATTATTAACTCGATTTGCAACACTGCTAACTGGCTTGCCGACATTTGATTGATATGAGATATATAAAAATTTATTATTACCTACTTACGCCTGTTACCCCTCATGGAGGAGCATAAGCTGCCTACCAGCACTCTCCATCCAACCTTGTCCTGGGCAATCCTTTCCAGCTGCTATTTATTCTTTTCATGTCTGCTTCTGATTTTTGACGTAGTGTGCTCATTGATCTTCTTCCTTTCCCTTTACCTTCAGAATTCCAAGTTAGCACTTACTTCACGGTGCAGTTTGATGATTTCTCCAATGTGTACCCTATCCACTTCAAACGCCTTTTTCTAATTTCCTCCTCAGTTGGAAGCTGGTTTGTTCTCTCCCATAGTGGGCTGTTGCTGATGTTATCCGGCCGACGAACATTCAGTGTCTTACGTAAACAATTGTTTATAAATACTTCTACCCTTTTGATGATGGTTGTGGTAGTGATTTGGTCTGTGCACGACCGATCCTTACGGAATCCAGCTTGTTGATCTCGAAGTTGAACGTCTACTGAAATCTTTCATGTGGTTCAGCAACGCACTGTTAAAAACCTTTCCTGATGCTCAGAGTTTCAATAGAGACCTATTCCTTGTGACGGTGCTTGTTGTGGTCCAGAACCCCCTGACACGTTAAAGTCAATGCTTCTTTGATCCCTCTCCTGTTGTCTTCCATAGTAGTTTCGCATTCTTCGAGTAATTCTTCCAAGGCTCGAAAATTATTGCTGAGAGTTATCTTGAATTCGTCGAGCTTGTATCTCGAAAGAGGGCTGTATGAAGCCTTTTTAATGCTGCTTATCCAGTTGTCCGGTGCTTCTTTAGCTTCAGTTCCATCTTAGCCACAGCCAGGTGGTGATCTGAAGCTATGTCAACTTCTCTCCTGGTTCTCACGTCTTCCATTGTCTTTCTGAAGTGTTTTAGTCACCCCGATCTAGTTCTCTGTAGTGTGGTCGAGTGAGATCCATGTAGCTTTGTGCATGTGTCTGTGTGGGAATGTTGTACTACCTATAACCAATTTGTAAGTTTCTCACCATTCTTGTCCGTTTTTCCTAGTTAGTCCATGTCGTCTCATGATATCTTCATACCTGGTGTCGTCCATTCCGACTTCGTCGTTTGGGTGTCTTTCATTTCTGTTGCTATTTGACTGGTACTTCCAGGCTCCCATAGTTTCCGGTTGTTTAATGTTCCTATGAAACTTGTTGCCGTGGTTTTTAGAAGGGGCATCCTCCTTGTGACTTTCGAAGATTCAAGGCTTTCATCATTAAGGGTTTTAATTTCTCCTTTAACCCCTAGGTCATAGTTTAGATGTTTTAACTTGGCGTTTTTTTGCAGGATCTTTTTATACGGGATAAGTTTGCAAACCCTATGCCCAACCCTCCTACTTTACCCGGTCTTGGGACCGGTAGTAATCCTAGAACTGCTACAGGCAAAGTTATTGATTATATGTATATCGATTATGCCGAAAGTTAGAATAGAATATTTTTTTACTCAACTCTTCTCTAAATGAGGAGTTTTATTGTACTAATGTTCATTCAAATAAACTGAAGTGAACTCTTTTTCCTAATTGTGCTTTACATCAAGTACGTTTATTAAAATCAAACTAGTAATACTGTTTTTTATGATCCATATTTATGGATACGGATAAACTCCACTATAGTTAGCAATTTTCACTCTGTACCTGGCAACCAACCAAAGTGAAGCAGAGGTTATTATTTGCGCTATGGTAATTACCGAGGGAGAGCGTGTTTTCTCTCTTGTTCTGCAGGCTCACATGAATGATGTAAAGTATTTTACAACGAAACTAAAAGTCCATCATGCGACGGACGTGTCAAGTATAGCACATTCAGCCATGATGGAAGAAAAATCGCAACTTAGCAATTCATGTCTCCAATTATTTCTATAGTATAAATTATTTCAAAATATCTTCAAGTGAGTGATTAGATAAACGAAAACATAACCTTAATTACTGAATACGATACACTCAGATGAATAGACGATGTGAAGTTTAACCCTGCCATATATAGACAGTAAACGAATAAATCTTCGGATTCTGTAATTTTCGATATTCTGTCCATAATATTAGTACAAATAGTTGATTGCTACAATAAAGGAGAAAATGAATGAACACAGATTATCATAGATGATAATCTATAGCAACATTTATTAATATTTCAGAAAATCACATTTAAAGTTCACACATTAAGTGTACCTACTTAGTCTAGTATAGAGAAATTTGTCCGAAAATCAATATAAAGTCAGTGATTTACTCAACAAAATTTCCTTTTATTTGTTTCGACCAATTTTTTTTACGATGATGATAGCATTCATGACATATGACAGTAGCAACACTGTAGCATGGACCCGATAATTAAAAAAACAGTCGACAAAAATAAATTCAGTTATTTAGGAGTTAATTAGTTAACTTCAAAATCGTGGAGTTCTGAGTGTGATCTAATCTGTAAGAATATTTGGTTTGTAAGATTACACTTGTTGTCAACAGGATTAACGTAATACTCCAGAACTGTAAAATTATTCGGATCGACTAGTTATTTGGTATAATAAGTGCAGTTGAATAATTTAATTTTTATGGTAGATATCCAAGACTTTTTATATAGGATTGCTCATTCAATTTGTTATAATAACTATTTAGACATAGTGAAGAGACTTTACAAAAGTAATGAAGTAAACTCCCATCTTAATCAGTTGGATATTTCATATCCAAGGCCTAACAATAATGTGTGCTAATTTATTGAATAAGAACAGTCATTACAATAGGCAGTAACTAATCTGAATCGATAATAATACATGTATCAAAGTATATATTACTTGAATATCCAATCAACTGTTGGTTCGCTTACTTGTGAATATGTCAATTTCAATATTAATAAATACTGTAACTGAAATTTCTCGTCACTGATTTGCTAAAACCGAGTTGGTTATGTTTGTTTATATGTTACGTGAATAAAGCTATTCGGTAACTAATTCAGTTCATTTTTATTAATTGAACTTTGGACTTATGCCGATTGTTTGTCCAATCTTACATTTCTTAACTTTATTGTTAACAGTGATCATAGTTTTCAGTTGTGAACATCAGTCACCTATTATAATAGTGAATACATGGCCATTTTCAAATGCAACCGATGCTGGATGGAATATCCTTAGTCCATCGAATTCCAAAGTATGTGGTTCATCAATAGATGCTGTCGTTGCTGCATGTACAAATGCAGAAGATGATCCAAATATTGAAAGTGTCGGTTATGGCTGTTCACCTGATGAAAGTGGACACACTTTATTAGACGCAATGGTGATGGATGGTAAAACAATGGAGGTATGCATTTGCTAAAGTTTTATATATGATAATCAATTTTATCATTATTATTAATGGCTTTATTCAATATTATATTTTGGTACAATATAGAATTCTCAGCATAGGGTATCTCAACAAGTTACTTGCGCAAAAAACAGTAACAAATACAAAAACAGCTTTAAAAAACCTCGGAAAACTGCGCAACGTTTAAAATTAAAGACATGTTAAGAATGCAGGTTATTGACTAGGTTAACTCTAACAACCTGTTCGTCACAGAGTATATTTGCTAGGTAAGGTATTATATAACTTCTATACTTTTGCTTGCGTGCATGCGTTTTAATGTAATTACGTCTCGTTCTACCATAAGATATACAAGGAGAAAGATAAGAGTGAAGGGGATGGTTAGTATCGAATAAAATAACACCTGCAAGGAGTTTGCATGACTTTAGATGTTTATCCACAACTATATTAATTATGACCTCGAAAGATTCACCACACATCTTGCTAACTGCCTTCAGCACTCTCCGCAATACAGCAAAGTCTTTCCTCAAAAGCCCGGGAAAGAGTAATGGAGAACAGTAAAGAAGAATAGGTAATATGCAAGAATTGACAAATTGTAAGAGTAAATGACGAGTAATCTCGAGAGCATGCAGTCTCTTTATGTACTAGGTCAGACGGAAAACCTTCTTTGATAACAATAAAACGTGGGAAGACCAAGACAGATCAGAGGGAAAGGTAACGCCAAGATAATTGACCTTCGATACTACGTTTATCAATGAGTAACCAATCGCACAAGCATTATGGGATCCCAAATTGGTGTTTAGATTCCGTTCATGTCTCATGCTATAGTTAACAGCTTGACATTTAGACGGATTAAGTATCAGACCATTACCAACAGACCAACAATCAATATGAGACAAAAACTATTCATTTCTATGGAATGTAAAGAGGAAGATATAGGCATACATACAGTGAGATCATCCGCATATTTCACAAAAGTGTTTTCTGTGGAAGATGGCAGATCGTGCAGAAAAAAAAGAGAAAAGAAGAGGTGAAAGAACAGCTCCTTGTGGTACACCTTTCTGAGACAGTAGAGACTGAACACTTTCATTCAAACACAGTGTACTGTTCTCTTCCAGAGAGGTAGGGACATAGCCAGTTGGTTATCCGGCTGTCAGTGTTGACGCTGATTAACTTGTCAAGTAAACGTTGTCTTGGGATGGAATCAAAAGCTGAAGTATAGTCCAGAAAAGCGCATCAAACATACTTCTTACCCTTTTCTAAGTTGAACACTATGTTGTGATGCAGAAGTGCAACAGCATCTAAAGTGCTTCTTTTGCGCCTGTATGCAAACTGGTATGGGTCAGTATGCTCTTTTATCGCAGGCTGAAGTGGAGGTATTAATAATTTTTCCATGGTTTTGAGGAAGGGTGAAGTTATTGCAATAGGTCTAAATTTTACATTCTTATCACCAGATGCTTTCTTGGGTACAGGAATTATCTTCATCTTTCTCCACATTTTCGATATGAGATTAGATGAGAAGGATCTGTTAAAGATAGTTTTGAACGGATAACATAGGACGTCAGCACACTTTTTAAAAAGGATGTTTGGGATACCATCAGGTCCTAAACATCGAGATGTATTAGGTGACTGGAGACATCTTCGTACATCAGTTTCAGTGAAACTAGGAACACAGCTATTATTTAAACCCGTGGATAAAGGAGGCATCACATCAGATGACAGACTACTAAAGTTTTATATATGATAGTCAAGTATATTTATTTTGCGAAGTAGACCTAAAAAATGAGCCGTCAAATGACGATTATTCAAACCGACTATTATGAAAATGAACTAACCTTGAAAATGCCCTATAAACTTATATGTATTCGTCAGCATAATTTTTTGACTAAAGTCAGTCAGTCAGCTACAGCGTAGGGCCAGAAACATATATGCATCGGTCCAAGTTGTCACACCTCATTATCATAGAAGATGAACACCAAATTGCAGTCCTAAATAACAATGGGAAGATAAAAGTAAACAACACCAAGTGAATATAACTTCATCCCATTACTCAAGCGGATGGCTATCAGGACTCAGTAGCTAAGTGGATAACGCTATGGCGTTTGAGGCTAACGGTGCTGGTTTAGAGTCCCAAAGTGAACATCAACTCTGTGGTGCGGGTATATCCAGTTGACGAGTCCCAGTTAGGACGAAACGTGGACTTCACTGCTAGCCACTATCCATCTTTATATATATTAAAAGAAGCGTTTAACCAAAGTCATAGAAAATTGCTAGTTGATGTGGAATTCAGTAAATTTGGTTAGCACATAGAATTACAAAATAACATAGTCGGACTTGGACAAGTGTATGTAAATATATTGACACGAAGAAGACAAACTAATATTCTTTCATCTATTATATAATCATGTGAATCTGAATAAGAATGAATAATACACAAAAATTTTCCGATCTACTAAATATAAGTATGTTTATGCTGTATTATTTCATTATCTTGGTTCAGTCTATTAGAAGATTTTTTTCTACAGTTTTTGAATGTATTGTTTCGTGGCGAGAACACGCTTACTTTGTTTCAGTTACAGAAAATTCTCGGGTTATATCAATGATATTTTAGAAATTATCTGCGATTTTTCTTTGAAAACTACATTTTTGTAGGCTGGTGCGGTAGCATCAATGCCTGATATTCGACAAGCATCCCAAGTGGCACGTGATGTCCTATTAAGCACTCAACATACATTACTAGTTGGGCCACTTGCAGCAGAATTCGCAAAGTCAAGAGGATATAAACCAACTTCGTTAGATACGCCTAAATCACATGATTTATGGCTAAAATGGAAAAACAATAATTGCCAACCAAATTTTCGTAAATCATCAAATTGGATTCCAGATCCTAAAATATCATGTGGACCATATAGATGGAACGTTTCTGGTAAGTATTAATACAAATGATTAACATTTTGAAATAAACTGACAATCATTATTTCCGTACTAAATAAAATATCTATCTATAAACTATCTGTGATATTCTCGCCAAATTGTACATACAGTTGTGTCATTTTGGCTGATCTATACTATAACGTCGGAGTGGAGCGACTTAAGGTGACTATGGGACCTTAACGCTCTTTAATATTTAATATAGGTACATTGTTTCAATGAGATATCTATCGATAAAAATATGCTGAAACAGATATGTAATGTTTTCGTTTAGTTTATTAGTTTCATCTAGATTCGTATCTCGTTTTTCTAATTCCATACTTAGGTTTTGAAGTTAATGGTTCCGTCACATACAATAATTTGGCTACGATTTAAATGAGCGCCAGATTGAGCTGTAGTTTCAATGTTTCCAGCTACATATTGATTTCCTGGGATATCTCTAACTATTATTAACACCTTTAATAAAAAGATGTTGGTAGTGTATAATTTATATACTTAGTAAACACATCTGCAATACTAAAATTTTTCAAATAATATAAGCATCAATTAAGATTTTAAATATTCTCTGTACTAATATTATATATACGGATTATTATTTAGTATTCCGCTTAATAAACTGTCTGACTGATTGTATGGTTTCCAAATTTAAAGGTTTATTTTGCTTTGTTCCTAACTTGTTGAGGTGAAGTTAGTTATCATTAATACTGTTGACCATGATTAAAATCAAGTACAATCATTATTAGATATTAAAACTTTCCTGTCAATATTTACAGTATTTCACAGGATTTTATATGTAACAGACATAGTCCCTCACCAATATTTTCATTAACTACTTTTGGTAACACTAAACTAGGGAATGATATCAGAGCATAAAAATTGCTAGCATCATAAAGGCGAAGTGATTACTTTAGCAAATTCTACTACTCTCAGTGATGCTATTACCGGACATCTCTTTGACACGGGAAATCAAGTTGTCACATTGAAATCTTTCAAGATAATCCATCGACAATTAAACTCTAATCTTTTTAAATCTACTGAAGCCATAACAATCCAATGTCTCAGACCGTATTTATATTTTTCAGGAACAAACTGAAGAAATATTCTTATCATAACAAAATTACTGTCATTTTATTATGTCATTGTTACAGCGTTTTTCGATTTTGATTTTACCATTTCCAATTTTTTTACAAATTCATAACTTTATTTTTTAAGTTATTCTTAATCACTATTAACTTGTATTCAGTTGTTCTATTACATAATCAACTGATTTCTTTTACCCTATGAACTTTACTTACTATTTGAATGTTCTGGGATATTCTCTCTCACATTATATTAATTGGCACGACTTTATTCTTTTCAATTTTATAAACTTTATTCCGATCGTCATTACAACATGACGATACATATTTACATTCAAATTGCTATTCTGGCATAAGTGTGTTAACTTTTATGATAATTGTAAAATAATACAGGCTGTAAATACATGATGTGGACCAAACGAAATAAAATGAACTCATGTTATTCTGTTCAAAGGTCTGTTCTTGCTCTCTTTAAAATTATGTACTAAGATTTTTACAGGTTGAATATCTAAAGATTGAGATTTTGCACAGAAATTTATGGAAACCTGTATATTATTCAAATACTAACTAGGTATTCTTTATTATCGACAATTTATGGTAAGAAATGATTTTACGCAGCATAATAATACTTTAAATGAAATTATTTTTGAATAGAATAAAATTAGGTTGATTGAAATTGTACACATCATTCACTGTCAACTGATTCAACCAGAACGTTATATCTTTAGTGAAAAAGTTGGTTATTGCGACTCACCTTTCAAGTATGCATCTGTGCAGTGGGTTTTAAGCTGGACAGTTTATTTAGGGACTACTCATTAAACAAGTGTCGGAACTAAAGCAGTTGAAGGAAATGCTCTAATCTCCGAACCACTTGTTCAAGGCTGAATGATCTATTATGTTACATATTGATCTACATAGGAAAAAGTAAAAACAGTACTATCTAACGATTAAATTAATCTAGATTTAAATCCTTCATTCAAAATAAGTTATGTTGTTATATAAAAACGTCCGAACGTAGATTATTTACTATCAGACAAATAGGATTACGATAACAATACAGGCAAAGTTGATAATGAATAGAGTTATTATTAAATAATAATTTTCCAATAACATTATTTCTCTAACAATTTAGATGTTAATTTACTTGAATCGAGTGATCAACGTGTCAACAAATTAGATATCAATAATCATGATACAATTGGTGTGATTGCTTTGGATGCTTATGGTTCAATGGCTGTCGGTACATCAACCAGTGGGTCAACATATAAAATCCCTGGACGTGTTGGAGATTCACCTATTCCTGGAGCTGGTGGTTACGTCGTGAATAATGTATCCATAAAGTTTTATTTTCATTAAACCTTTTTAATGGATTGACTTGTATCTCTGATAAAATCAATAATTTTGGTTTATTATAATCATATTTTAATGAAAGATTGACTCTATTAACATAGTTTAGATCACTGAATATTAGGTGTTTAAACTTCGGTGTTTTATTAAGAACTTATCTACTTTATAATAGTAGAATGTCCATTTCTTTGCGGATGAAAATCATCACAAAAAACAGCATGTTGGTATAAGCTTTTATGTCACTGTAAACAGTCAATATAACAATCTTAGAGTTTGAGCGTAATTTTTCTCTTGATGATCGCTAATATCTAATATACTCTTTTTTTGTTATTAACGAATATTCAGTGTACTGTGATTTGCTATAGACTCCAATATTTACGGAAACACTTTGAAACTTAACGACGTACTTGATGAAAGCTAATTAATCTTTAAGCTTTAATCGACATCTGGCCCCATCCTAAAGCTTATGTTTGTGAACGAAATAACTCTTCCTTACGAATAGATTTCAAACAGTTTCGTTAGGTATCTGAGGATGAAATGACCGGCACTATTCAATCGTAGTCTAGCTAACATAAGTTTGTTATTTCAACTGTGAAAATATCTAAATCCATCTAACCAACGTCGAATCGAGAGAACACTCACTTAGTTGACTTATGAATAAAGCCTTAGTTGATGGAATTTAACATTATCATTACAAACAAGATAGACAAACTTTAATGTATAAAAAGTCATAATAAAAATGAGTCTTTTAGTTTATCAACAAAGAATTACAAATACAAAATTGGTTGTAATATCTAGTAACTTATTTACAAGATGTATTACAGCTGTCATAGTTTGTTTGAAGCCGAATTACTTGAAAATTCGATAAACTTTTTATCCAATAAGTATAATAATTGTATTGTATTTTGAATTTGTTAAGATTGGTGGTGCTGTTGCTACTGGTGATGGAGATCTTATGATGCGCTACCTATTGAGTTTTCAAGTCGTTGACTACCTTCGTCAAGGAATTGGTCCAAATGAGGCTTGTAAAAGAGCTTTGCAAAGCGTGAGATCGGTATGGTACTTATTTACTTTAATATGAAGCTTCTACTAAAATTTAATGTGATCAGTCATTTCTGTATAAAATCCTTTTTCAAACGTATGCAATAGTCTTAAGAATTTGCAGGCTTTAATCAATTAACTCACTATATGAAGTGGTTATATTGACGTTTTAACATAAATGATTTTGGTGATCGTACGTGTCTTAGATTGTAATTTTCAGTCAAGTAATCATTATTTTCATTGTGACTAGGTAACTTCAAAGAAAATTGGCATTTTAGGTAATATAACTCAGAATCGACTGTGATATTTGCCTTAATCCTGCGATTCAATATTATTTGGTACTTTTTATTCCTCAAAATCGTCCCTTCTTTCCGAATTTTATTTTCCAAATCTGTCTTTTTGACTTATTACTTGGGCTGTTTTGCTGATTTTTCGTTATACTGATGTCTTACAGCAATCTGCGTGAACCCACACTGATCCCAAGCCTTATGTTGATTTTGACTGATTGATTTTTGGTTTCCGATAACTAAATCTCAACGGCCCCATTCTAGTACCTTGCAATTCCCTAAAAGACTAGATGGAAATAACGCAAAAATTTATGAATTTGAATCATAACTATGTAAGTTCGACCATGTACTTTCCCAAATTTACATTGCTCCAGGCAGTAACACAAGTCAGAGTAGTTGGAGAAGCGATATATGTGGTATATATCTTACTTTTGCCTGTAGTTCTAAGAACATAACCTTATCGAATGATTCGATCAACTGCCTTGAAAATCGGCGCACATCTCTATCATCTTCCATTCCACATGAATGACATGCTTAGACTTTTTGGATCAAGCAACTTACATTTACATGGTTTACACCTTCAACAATTGCTTTGCAGAAGTGCACTATGACCGGAATAAATATCGAGTGATGTGCTCATATTTCTATTTGAACTCAAATATTTTTCCAGGACAATATTCAGCATTATCTGAAGAAAAGCTGGAGCTTTTTGTATTCATTTGGGGATTGTATCACAGATCAAGTCCTTGGAAATAATGGATATCTCCAAATAGGGAAAATCAATTAATATAGTAAACCACATCATTCTCTATTCCTAAATCGGGTTAGTTCGAGACCATCCTTACAAATTTGATAGGTACAAATAAAGGGCAATCAGTTTAATATCAATGAATCTCTTCAATAAAGTTGAATTGGAATAATGAGATTGAAAATCTATGTACCATTTAGTGTTATTACCTCGGATAATGATTCTTAATATATATTAACAGCACAACGTAACTATGATGATTAGGAGTATTTAAATTATAGTATGTACTAAGAATCCCAGAAATAACGTAATCGGATCAAGAAGTACTAGATAAGCACAAACGAATGTACTGTATTTAGAATTCGAAATCAAGCATTTGACAAGTACAAAGGAATTATTAGTTCATTCAAACACCACAGTAACGTCGAATAAATAGTCATTGTCAACAATATGCTTTATCAGGGCACAAATTAAACTGAACAATACCATAGGACCTCACAACCTACAGAATCGAAGTTTATTTTCCTGCCCAGTAAAACAATCAGTATGAGTCACTGACAAGCTTGCCCGTGTAATGTAACATAAAGATGTAAAAATATTTGATCAGTATGCTCTTTTTAAAGTCAGAATTTCGTCCAGCGTTTTTACGTCAATGAATCGCCTAACTTGAAGCAAAAACCGTAAATTTGGGGGTGCTGATTAACATCGAGAACCAGAACGTAACACACTGAATACTACCTAGCATTTAACTTTTTCGATTAACTATCACTTTGTTAGTAGATTAGAAATAATAAGTCATTATGAACAATTGCGAATAATTACAACAAGAAATTGTTTCATTCGTTGTGTGATTGAAAACATTATTATATTAAATAGATGGAAATCTATTCAGTTACGTAAACATTTATGGTAAAACTGATTTATTCTACTACTGATATATTTACAAATCCATGGTACTTATTTGATAATAATTGATCCACATAACTCAAAGTACTGTACTAAAGTTGAATCATTTATATTGCTTAGCCAAAAAAATGGTATGGAGCTTTAGTCGCTCTTACAAGTCAAGGTGAACATGGATCAGCTTGCGTAGGATTCGCTAATTTCAAGTACAGTGTTCGAGCTTCGTGGATTGGTAATCAAACTAAAATAATTGCTGTATCTTGTACTGAATTAAATGAATTATGAACAAATATTTTCACATGAATGACTATTTAATTGATTGGCTTATTTTTTTTCAAATCAATGTATTTCAAGCTTTCTTTCCCTGTAATTTGTGATACAAAATTACTTTAGAATAAAAAAGGGTTTTCTTTTAATTAATAATGGAAGAGGCAATAGTGACTATACAATATGAAATGTAACAACGATGATTCATGAATAATGCATCCAAAGGATTTGTCAGAAATAAGTTCTACTAAAAAGACAACTCTTTTTATCGAAACCGAAATTATTAAGATTATAATTCATTTTGAGACGTACTAATAAGAACATCTACCCTAATTATTTCTTAATTCTCATTTATCATTTCTTATGTATAATACAGTCAGTCATCTACAACAAAGGATTATGCACATATATGCATAGGTCAAAGTTACCATACATAACTGCCACAATAAGATGAACACCAAATAGATAGAAGTAGTTATCTCAATGGTAGTAATATATAAATGAAATATTGCATATAAGGATAAAATACAGGGAGAAAGAATTAGTTCGTAGAAATGAAGGTATTCAGCAATTTTCATTTCACGGTATAAGGAAAGACAAAGAATGTATACACCTAATTAATTGTGATCGATCCTGAACCATGTCACCCAGAGTCTCCAACCATTGGTGATTAGCATGCCTGTGTTTTAAAACCTGACGAATGGTGAATATGTGGTAGATGGATCTACTACCAGGTCTGAAGCCAACCTAATTTTCTCATGTTTGCAGTTCACAAGTCCTTATTAGGCGACCGATAATTATTGACGCTAGTATTTTGGATGCCATATTGGTCAGATTGATCCCTCTATGGTTAACACCGGATGACTTCGACCCCTTCTTACATATTGGGACGATCAGTGATTGAGGCCAGTCAGATGAGATTACGCCCAGTTCCCAGATTTTGGCTAAAATATAAGCAACCTAACCGCTAAAATTGGACCACCATACTTAAAGACCTCTGAAGTTAGTCTATCTCGACCAGCTGCTCTTCAGATTAGCTATAGCTTTTTTATCTTCAATTAGATTCGGGGGCGTATTTCAATGTTTCACTCTGGTTTTTTGGGTAGCTGCAGAGTAGGTAAAGGCCAGCTAAAATGCTTACTCTGCCGCCCATCGTTCTAAACGTCTGGATGGAGAGCAGATAAGTGTCGTCTTTGCTGAGATTGTCTCACACTTTCTCATTCCGGTTTCGTCTATTAGTCTGGAAAGCTATCTGGTGCTATCTACAGCTACTACCTTTTTATCTCTTTTGCTTTCGTTGCCCACCACTGCTCACGACCATTCCTTAGACGTTTCGTTAACCTATACCTGATTTTTTTCGCTCGTCATCGTGTTCGGAGCCAGATGGGATGAGTTTACGAGTCTATTAGTACAAAAGTGTAGCAGAAACCACAGGTTTCTCGTAACGTTTTGGTTCAAACCACTGATGGATGTGGCTGCTGTTTTCACAGCTCCTCGTATATGTTTCCAAGCAACATCTGGGTTAGTCTCATTTTCAAAATTGCATAAATGTAACTTCAGTTGTTTCGAGAGTTTACCTTTGGCTTTCTCGTCACTGAGTTCTACTCTGATGGATCTTCTTAATGTGGCTTTTCTGAGTCCAATGAGGCGCAAGCAGATGCGTGCCCGTACGAGGGCATGGTCGGAGGCCAAGCAGGTACTCCAGAATGAGCGACAATCTTCTACCGACCCTCTCCAACGATGACTGACGGCAATATGGTCTATTTGAGTCCATCACTGGTCTGGTACAGAGAGTCGCCATGTTAGACGATGTCTCTCCTTATGCTTGAAATTGGTGCTTGCTGAAAACAGACGATTGTCTGAGCACAGTTGCAGCAGACGATCACCATTATCTGTTTGCTGAGCCGGAATAGCAAAATACCCACCTAAATGTCGAGGCAGGAGGAATAATAGGAACTGAAGAGGAAAATCGATTATGAATACAGTGATATTGATTGTTGAGACCTTATCACAGGAGACGGGTATCCATGGGGTACGGCGGGGTGTGTAATTTTAGGGTCGACCATTTCTAACCCCACTTTTCCTTTGTGGGAAGGCAGCATCACTGTTATGCTAGTTGTCTGAGGAGAAAACCTTACTACCGTCACACCTCTGTACAATCAATATTACGACTTCGCACTTGGACCTTGGGTTTGCTGTTTTTAATCTTATCGTTCTTTAACCGACATGCCTGGCATGGTAGGACCTTGAGGAACGATTGTTCCAGTCAGTAAAGCCCGATTGATTCACCACGATAGGCAAGCCGAGCCACCACATCAAGGTAGCCGCAACGGCTGTGGATTTTCAGTACCATGATACTTTAGTACTTGTGAAAAAATAAATTTTCTAGGTACTCTCATTAATATAACATATTAGTGTACATTTATGATAACAAAAGAAATTTATTCGATAAAGAAGTCGACTACAATTGAAGAGGATAGTTTCATGTAAAACTGAATTAATTTAGTATTTTGTCTAAATGAATACTTATCTGTAAGTAACACACTTATGCTTTAAATATCATATGACATTAAATACAGTATGAATTTATTTTAACTCATAACATAAGAACAGAATTCACATGTCCACTGGAAGTTTGACTACTTGGTGAGAGGAAAATTATTTACACAGACACATTATCTGGGTATATGATATCAAACAGACTTTATACATTAATTGATTTATTTGCTGAATTACTAGTTCCCTTAGAATCTTATTTATGACACCACCGTAGATGCTTTAAGCAGTTATGATATTCATCTACTTCTAAGATTACAAAACATAAGCACACAGCTATTGTTGTTGAATAGTATGCACCAAGATTATTGTCTTCTACTAGAACTTCATTCCTGATGTTTGACCTTCAAAACAATATCTTTTTCTTAAATAATTTGAAAAATTAGGAAACTATTTAAATCTTATTACTCATTGATCTTGTTACATCCTAACGAAGAACAAACGAATGGTAACTTCTAGGAATTGTTTATGGACTATGATTATATATATATACGTATACCCTTCAGTTGATCTATTGGCTATTGCGACACGATTTACCATTCTCAACTTATTCTCGATTTATTGGTAACAGTCTCTCACATTCACATTCACTTTTTGGCTTGATCTTATGTAGTAGTTATTTTCTATTTTGTGGTGTGAGGTCCGGTCTAATTTGCTTGTATATAAACTGAGTATGTCTGAAATACATGATTCATACAGTGGAAGCTGAGATTGTGTACTGGACTCAACGGGCGTGCAAGGCGAGAAAAACCAATAAAGACTCAGAGTTGACTCTAGGTTGCTTGTGCTGGTTAACGCGTCATTGGCTTGGCACAGGGCGAATGTCGTATGAATCAGTGTTCTGATTGGCGATTTTGTTACGGGATAATTAGCAGGCCAAAAGTCATGATGGATTTGAATGGCTGTTCTGGTATAAATTAAGAAAAAACTGATGTGAAAATAACAAATTTATTGTAAAAGCTCAACTAGAATTTGAAAACTTCTTCAACACATCAATACTGAAGTAAAAACACTTGCATCTAGAAGAAAAGAAAATAGATAAAATATGCAGACAGCAAATAAGTTGATTTACTTGAATATCTTCAGTTTGGAATGATTTGATAGGATAAACTGAACCGGAATTAGTAACATTTGTATTGTTATTTGGTATCAAACTCCATGACATTGTAGGATTCTAAACAGATAATTTCGAGTTAAAAATTAGTTGTCTTGGACAAGAAACTTTGAGTGTTAACTGAAAAAAAAACTAGACGACCTACAAACATTGTAATGATGCTGATTAAATAACTTAATTATAGCAACATTTATTTGTCTCTCGAGTTATTATTATTATTATTATTATTATTATTATTATTATTATTATTATTATTATTATTATTATTATTATGTAACATGCACCAAAAACAACTATACATGAATGATAATTTTGCACTTTAATGAAAAGATGCTATTGGCTTATGTGACGGGAAAAAGTATATTTTCAATCTTGTATAACAAGAATATCTAAAGGTGGATAATTTCTTAAAAGTTAGACGTACACTTCCATAAAAACTGATTGTTTAAGTTTCAAAGTAACCAGCTGAATACCTCACGTTATCATGGAAACGTGTGTCTATAGTAATGCTAGAGACTATATTTACAAGCAATAGAAATTTTAAATAAATATTTCAATAATTATTACTGGCTGTAGACGAGATATTCAGTCTTCAGTCCAATATATTAATAAAAAAGGATAGACTAAATTATTTATATTTCAACTGCTTCTTACTTCATTTTGATATGAAGACGAACAGAAATGTACCCATGGTTCCCAAGTCGTCTCTAAAAAAATCAAGACAAAGACGGATAATAAATCTACAGTTTGAAGGTCTCAAGGAGGAAAATGGATTTGTAGATGGATCCAATCAATAAGGTTAACCAAATAGCACTAAATGAAGTTCAAAATCAGTACTTTAGAAATCTGCTTTATATTTCTCGAAATGCAATTTTAAACTTAGCTACATCTATTTCAATTTGTATGATCGGGTAGTATACTAAACCATCATAAGTTTAGATGGTACTTAAGTATGCGAACCCGTACTTAATTATTGAGATACGTTAACAAAAAAACATTACTATTGACGAGGTCATAATCGCACCTTAAATTTAATAACTAATGCGAATTAATCTCGACCGATGATGAATCATTTTGTGAATAAAAATGAAAACTGTAAATGTAACGGTAAGAAGAGTTTAGTAAGATTACTGCTAGAAAAAAAATATTTATAACACAAATGAAACTGATTTTTGGAAGACTAAATTTTCAAGCAGCCACTTAAAAATCGATCATTTATATCAGAATATATTCACAGAAATATCACTCATAATTCAGTAATAACATAAGTAACATTCCTCAATGCGTCTAGACAGAAATCAAGTCAACTGTAAACTGTCCTTTACTCATTTATCATGCACTGAAGTTTAGATCTGAAAGCAGTCTAAAAAACCAAACTGAGTACATGAGCAGTGTATAACGAGGTATTATCCAACAGCTTCCTCCTGGCATAGGACACTGTAGAAATGACCATCCACTACCCCTCCCACTGAAGTAGAGTCCAAGAACTTCAGTCTTGCGCATGCAACCTTAAATTTTTTACTACTGAGTCGCTATCCAATGGTTTACATGTTTAAATTCAATTAACTCGTAATAATCTGCAAACATCTTTCAATGTACTTGGCGAGTGAGTATCTCATACTCTATGTGGTTGAAATCCACTGATCACGGCTTCACACTAGAAATCCGGAACTACCTTTAGAAATTAGTTACTAGTGAGTAACTAATTACTAATTATTAACTAGGGGACGTTCACTTATATTTTGTGATGTTATACAGTGTTTTATAATTAAGTTGAAAGAAAACAACCTGAAAACTTTTACTTGTTGAACAAGCAAAAATAATACATTATGTGAGCTGTGTCTACATAGATAAACAATCCACAAGTTGTATTAATCATTACTTTAGTTCAGGTACGAAAAATGTGCCTAACAAACATATCGTCGTCAAAACGAAGAACTTCAGAAAAGATAACAGAGCCACCGAACTGATATTTTCAGCTTATTATGAACATTAACTAATGGATGTTAAGATTATTAATGGTGGAGCCAATACATGGCATGAAACAATGGGTACACAAAGAAGTTAAATAAAAATCCAGTTCAGTTACATGAACAAAAACATACTATTTGAACTTCACATACAGACAAACGTTACTTTTAACACTATTCATAACTAATCGTTATAAATCCTTACCAGACATTTTGTTAAATAAAAAACAGTCTATTACTGTTTTCGTGAAGTATATAAGGTACGGCTTTTTAACACGCAAAAATTGTCTATTTATACGAGATAGTTTCAGAAATCTGTAGCCGTATTAATAATTTTGAGCAAACAAATTGAGAGTTATTTAAATATTATAAATATTTTAACCTACCAAACTCTAGTGGTTGCAGAAAAGAGTCAAGAATTTTCAAACGAATCAATATAGTAGCAAAATATTCTTGTAGTAACGAGAAACAAATATCCTGTCTAAAAAACAAATAGTGAAGCAGAAATTGATGGGGAAGTATATAGTCATTTGCACGAAACACCAGAAACAAATGGATTATTTTGAAATATATGGGTTGATATAAGTAAGACCACCATTGAGAATCTGGAAGCACTGAGTGGTTATTTCGTCCTAGTATAGGACTTCTTAGCAATGCACATCCACGATCCGTCATGCGGAATCGAACGCAAAACCAGTTCCATGCGCTAAAGCCTAACCTCTAGACCACTGAGCTGACATCCAAAGCTGTTTATGTCCAATCTCATTCAATCCACGAAAATGATTGACAATCTTCTATTGTTTTAGGCGAGTAACTGCTTCACATTTGACATGGATTAGCTCCACTGGTCACAACTTCTCATTAGAATTCAGGGAATTTCCTTTCGAGGCTATTCACCAGTAAATTTAAGCGTTCGTGCTGGGGGCTGAAGTCCTTGTTTCAAGTCCGGTACGCACGATCACAGATTGAGAATGCTGAGCCCCATACTAGAACGAAATGGTCGCTCAGTGCTCCCAAGTTTTTTATGGTGGTCTTAGATCGGTTGATTAATTTAATAAAATTCAACAATCTCCACAGCCCCTTACTGACAGAAGGGAATAGTCGCAGATGTACGTATGTATATACTATACATACCTTAACGGCAAAACCGTTTTAAATCTGGTCAGTAATGTACCGGCCAACAAAGATCAATATAGGTTACTTGGTGGGAAATGTACCAATCGGTAAAACTGCATGCAAGAGTGAAAGAAGATTAGTTACGTATATGTTATTATTTGTCAAAACGTAAACTTGACGCTAGACAACAATTAAGTTAAAAATAAAACATGTTGTGACGTGTGGTATCACAAATTTGATACTGATACACAGTAAGATATGCGCTAACCCACCCCCCTTAAAAGATTATTTGAGCGACAACACAAGAGTGAGTGAGAAAGTGTATTACACTGTCGAATGAAATGAAATACTCATTCATATATATACCACTCTATCCTTAAGAAACTGACCCACTGACTCCAATACAATGTATTTGACCTTTGGGTCACTTCTGATTACCATCGATCGATTTTTTGTTACTTCCGATTGGCTCTCCACATCAACATATTTGTAATATCCCAATGAGTAGAAAAATCAAGTTTTCTGACATTTCGTGACTCAGTACTAACCACCTCTTCCGAAAAGAAATAAGCAAATTAAATTAACCCAAGTATGAACAGTACGAAGTAACAATATTTGATGTGATAAATCAAAACAAGTCGCCTTGACCGAAATAACATAATATTGACTTTGTCAGACCTGGTTTTGATTTATCGTATCAAATATTCTTGCTTTGTACCTTTGTACTTTTCATACTTAGTTTAATTTCATTTATTTACTCTATGAAGAAGTGGCTTACACTGAGTTACGAAACGTCAGAAAACTCAATTTTCTACTCATTGGGATATTGCAAATATATTATTTTTATTATTAACAATCTACACAATGCTCGATTTATTTTAAATGATCAAGTCAGATTAAGTTTAAAAAAATAGGGAACCATATGACGTATATTTTCAAGTTGAAATCATAAATGAAGACTGATTGACATGAGTCACGATTGGTTTTAATGGAATAAGTGCATTAATTTTTTGTCTTCAAATCTTTTCTCTTAGTTTATGCTTGTACCTTGCCAACTTACGCTTTCTTACATACATACCTGTTACCATTCATGGGGCATAGGCCGTACACCAGGCATCCCCGAACAGTTCTGTCTCGGACTCTCCATTCTAGATACTGCCAACTACTACTTATCCTTTTGACGTCTGTTAGCGGGATATAGATTGAATTAAAGCATATTCCGTTCAGAATCGTGTTGGGGAACTCTGATTGGCTATTTATCGGCACTAGCGAATACTTGGAGAGGACTCTAGAATCTTCTTTTGTAAAAATTATAAATATGCTAAAGTTTTTCGAATTGTTATCCCTACTTCCATTCAACCTTATCTGAAATATAATTACATCCCTATTGAACCATGTCCAGTGAAGTAGTGTTCAAAAGTACTAAGCAATAAGAGTAGCTGGGTCGTATAAAGAGAGTTTATAACAACATCTGTTTACAATTCCCAGTGTCATGGGTATTTTAGTTTGTCTCCTTTCATTTTGCCTTAAAGACCTTAAGTTCGGGCATTTCACATGATATAGTTTGATAATTTCCGAAATGTATGTCCTATTCAGCTCCAGTTTCTTGTCCTAATTTCTTCTTCAGCTGGAAGCTGGTTTGTTCTCTTTCATAGTAGGCTGTTGCTGGTGGTTTGCGGCCAACGAGTATTCAGTATCTTACGTAGACAAATGTTTATAAATACTTCTACCCTTTTGATGATTGTTGTGGTAGTTCTCCTAGTTTCAGCTCCGTACAGTGGAACTCTTGTTCGCATTGAAGATTTTCACTTTGATGTTGGTTGGTAGTTGTTTTGAGTTCCATATGTTCTTCATTTGTAGGAATGTTGATCTCGCTTCGAGAAATTGTGCCTCCACAACTACATTAGATCCTTACTATGTACTAATGATACAGCACATAAACGTGAAGGCTTTCATCTCTGCCATAGCTTCGTCATGAAGCTTGGTTTAGTTGGTGCTCACAATTATATCTCAGAATCTTCCTTTTCCCGTCGTGAATGTTCAGCCTTACTATGGTAGAATCCGTTTTAATTTTATCTGCATTTGTTATTGAAGCCAGTCTTTGCTGTTCAGCTTACGTTTAATGGGTTCCACCTATTCTAAGCAAAATGGCGTTGTATTTTTTCATTTCTACTGCTATTCCAATGGCTTCGGTCTTCCACGTTCCTCGAACATTCTACGCGCTATATTAATTGTTGCTCTGGTTGTCAAAGAGGAGATCATGACTTCCAAAGAGTCTCCGCTTTCATTATGAGCTGCCCTAACTCTTCTACATGTAGACCCTTCAACTCCCAGAGCGGATTTTAAGTGTTTTTTTCTAGTAGGTTATTTTTACGAAGTGAGGTCACTAATCCAACACCTATTTCTTCTCCTTTATCTGCCCTTGAGTCGGCAACAACCCTAGAAGGGCTCCGGGTGAAGCTTTACGTCCTCTATTTTGAAGTTTTTTAAATATGCCGGGTATTTCGATACACTTACAAAGTAATATGACTTGATCGGGTTTGCCTTTGATTAAGTTAAGTAAGCTTCACTGGGATTTACTACGTCACATACAAACACCAAATAGTTATTAAAGAATCTTAATTCAAACAAATATTTACTTCCTTGTTGATGTTTCAGTGTCATTTTCAGTTTGATAGGATATCAACATTCTGGCCAATAGCATTAGGAACTGTATCGCTGATCATCAAAATTGATTAATGTTGGTATGAAATTATCCTCGAAGTAATCTTCTATCCATTTATTTGGAAGTTATCTTCAAGTCATTTTTCAACAAACAACGTACAATGAGCCTTTGAAGTTTCAAACATATTCATGAAGATAAAACCTAAGCAATCTCTTTGTAATAAAAATACCCATTACGCTTTATTTGAAATAGCTGAAATAATATCTACTTTTATTTTTGATAACAAAACTCGTTAAAATGAAGGGAATGCGCCAGCGTCATATGAATTCAACAATCAGTGGTTCTCCGACAAAACGTCAAGGTTGTATGATAGATAGTAGTAAAATAATTTGACAGACGAAATTTATCCCAATTTATAGTGCTTGCTCATAGTATTTAAGTAATCCAGGAACTGGAAAGACCTATAGCTTGTTTCGAATTGACTCCAGTTGTCACATCGTAGTTGATTAGCTCGGATTAAATCACAAATATAACTAATAAACCTGATAAAAGCGGAGTAATTTGTTTGTTTATTTGATTGACTTATACATGCAAGTTGGATAAGTAGAAGCATCACGAGAAACTAAAAGAATGCTGTACAGTAACAACATAAATATCAAGATAGTTAGAGTAAATCACTGGAAGGTTGTAAAACACGTGGAACTAAAAGATTGTGCTTAACTATAGTGTCTTGTGTTCTTGATTATTTCCCACTGAATCACGGAATCTAATTCAACCAATCTATTTGATTTCGCGTAAATAATTATTATTGTTAGATCTACGTAATTCACTAGATATAACAAGTTAGTACATAAACTAGTAAAATGAACAATTAGTAATTATTATCCTTTCAAATGAAAAAAAATTATCAATTTATCAAACTTTCGCTAAACAGATAAACGACCACGAATGTATGAGCACTCAAAGAATGACACTACGTTATTCCACGTTTTGAAATGGGATTTTATGAAAACCTCAGTTGAAAGCTGATTACAACAGAATGATTTTCCACATTCTAATGGTTCAAGAACCAAATGGTATGGAAAATCAGGAACTATTGGAAAAAATCATAATTAAACATATTTTCTATTAGAATATTTTAACTACTTTTGGGAAATGTCAAAATCAAAGCACTACGGCAGTGTATAATGTTTTCAGAAAACGAACAGCTCACAATGACCAGAGGTTAAATGTCAAGCCCGAAGTTTAGCCATCTTACTACGAAAAACTCCTACAATATCCCGTGGAGGAAAGTGTCAATAATTCGAAATAATTTGATTTTTATCAGAATCTGATTATGGATGTTCTTTTAAGTGATTTTTAGGCATATAAGATTGGATTCGAAGACCTTGTGAAGACCCTTCACAATTCTTCAAGAAAAGGAAAGGCGTTGGAACAGAACGAATACTCTAGACTATTTTTCGGGTTATTAATATCTCTATTGTATAATGAGTAGATAACGGTATTGTTGGATTTCTATGTTTCTCTTATTTTAAGCATTCAGTTGACCTACTGACTTACTATACGTCTTACTTACTTAATTACGCCTGTTACTCCCAATGGAGCATAGGCCATCGACCAGCATTCTCCGACCCACTCTGTCCTGGGCCTTTTTTTACACTGTACGAGCATTTCATGGACTTAAATAAGTGGTTGCTATGGTTGTCAGAAGGGGCATCGTCCTTGTAACTTCTGAAGGAGCTCGGCTTTCACCATGAGGTGCCCCCCTGAATGCCCTGGTACGGCCGAGAGTGGGGAGAGTCCGCTCTCCCTCTCGAAATACTCTCACACGGCGACGCGTATACAGCCTCTGCCAGGGAAGTCCTACTCATTGCCTTCTCGTGGCGGGGGTGTTGTTTACGAAAATGAGAGGACGAAAAGCGAATGTCCGGCGCTTTAACCGGATTCCAAATCAATGGTGCACATGGGCTCCAGTATCTTGCGGGAACGAATGGCGTATGAACCAATCGTTGGTCACCGGCTACCATGGGACTGCATCTCCTTACGATGCTCCACTGCCTTGTGGGTTAGACCTTTAGGTCAAAGGCTCGGAGAGTGGCCCCCTAAGATAACCACCTGCTTCGGTTTGGGCACCCGGGCAGTATCACAGCCCACACACAAATTGATGAACCCTTTATGCCTATGGAAATTACCTTTCTCGCTTTGAAAAACAAACAATTGATTCAGATTATTATCATTACAATTATTGTCACTATTAATACTAATATTATTATTACTACTATTATTGTCATTATTGTTATTATTATCATTATTATTATTATTTTCCACATTATTCACCCTCTTTTATACTTATACAGCTGCTCGTCTTTGGTGGAAATCCGACTGTATCTAATCGTTCTCGAGTCACTGTCCGGTTGAAAATTGTATGTTACCACCGAATACGAGGACTGAAGCAGTTTTTCTGAAACCACGTGCACCATTCAAACTGGCTGCCTTCAACGTTCGCACATTTATGCAGGTCGGACAACAGATAGGGCTGGCTATGTCTTTGGAAAGTCTTAATATTGACGTGTGTTGTCTATCCGAGACCCGTATTCAAGACTCTGGCGAAGTACTACAAATTCGATCTCCATCTGTCGCTTCGAAAAGCTTGTTTCACGTGCGCTTATCCGGGGACCCTGTGGCATCTTCGTCTGGTCTTGCTGACGTTGGTGTCGCACTAAGCGCTAGAGCTGAGGCAGCACTGGTCGATTGGATCCCCATTAACAGTGTGCTGTTAGATTAGAAAGTTCCATCAAAGTGAGAAGAAATCGGCGTGAGAAACGATGTCTTTTCGTCATCTCCGCCTATGCCTCGACAGATTGCAGCCCGGATGCAATCAAGGATGAGTTTTACCACCAGTTATCAGTTCTTCTGCAGAAAGTGCGTTCGACAGATATTGTAGTACTAGCCGGAGACTTGAATGCTCAGGTCGGGCGTCTAGGCACAGAAGAGAGTCGTTTAGGTGGCCGATGGGGACTTGTTGGTCGCAGGTCAGATAACGGGGACCGTCTACTGCAACTTTGCACAGACCACAACCTGTTTCTTGCTAGCACTAACTTTCGGCACAGTCATCGCCGATGTGCCACCTGGCGTCCTCCCTCTGCATCTCAAGCCTGGACTCAGATTGATCACATCGCGATCAGCTACCGCTGGCGTGGTTGTGTACAAGACTGCCGCTCCTTTTGGAGTACCTATCTGGACTCTGACCATGCCTTGGTCTGCGCCAATCTTGCCTTACTTTTCAGTGGACAACGAAGTGAACGCCATCTACGGATTGATGTTAGCAAGCTGGTTGCAACTTCTGTTGCAAGTAAGTATCGAACCGAGCTAGCCTCTAGGCTAGCTACCACTCCACCGAAAAGTATAGATGAGCATTGGTTGCAATTGCATGACGCCATGAAAATGGCGGGAACAGTCAGTTGTGGGTTTGCGAAACGTCCCGCTTTTAAGCACTGGGTTTCTCCAGGTTCCTTACAACTCATTGAAGCCCGTCGGTCTACTCCGGGTGACCGTGAGTTTGACCATAAACGAAGGATGTTACGTAAGGAAATTGGGCAAAGCTTCCGTAAGGACCGAGAAGCCTGGTGGTCGGAGCGTGCTAATGAGTTGGAAGCAGCAGCTGCATCTGGTAACTACCGGAAGCTCTTCCAGCTCATCCGAGCCACTGGCAGCAAGAAGTCTGGTGTGAGTGAAACAATCTGCGAGGATGATGGGATGCCAATCACTAACATCCATCGACGTCTTGGACGATGGGCAGAATTTTTCGAAGGACAGTTCAACTGGCCTGCTGCTCCGGCAACATCGGTCAGACTGTCCTGCCCTCCATGGCCGGTGACGACTGATCCACCAAATGAGGAGGAAGTCCGCAAGGAACTCCAACTCTTGAAGCGTTACAAATCACCTGGCCCAGATGACTTACCTCCGGCTCTTTTTAAAGATGGTGGTGACTTTTTGACTAAGGAATTGACGACGTTGTTTACAAAGGTTTGGGAGCTAGAGAGTGTACCAACGTCATGGAATGAGTCGATAGTTGTCCCTATCTTTAAAAAGGGTTCACGTCGTTCTTGTAGCAACTATCGGGGGATAAGTTTACTTCCGATTGCGTCCAAGCTATTGGCTTCCGTCATACTTCGTAGGTTGTTCAAAACCCGAGAAAGATTGACTCAAGAGGAGCAGGCTGGGTTTCGTTCTGGTCGAGGATGTATTGATCATATCTTCACCCTCCGCCAAATGTTAGAACACCGCCATACTTTTCAAAGGCCAACAATCGTAGTGTTTCTTGACATCAGGGCTGCCTTCGATTCGTTGGATAGGACTGTTCTCTGGGATTGTCTATTGAAGAAGGGTGTGCCTGAGAAGTTTATTAACATCCTAAAAGCCCTGTATAAAAACACCTCAGGCAGAGTGAGGGCATACAACCACCTTTCTCCATTGTTCCATTCGAGCAGTGGGGTTAGACAGGGTTGCCCAATCTCATCATTCCTCTTCAACTTTGCCATCGACGACATTCTGGAAACAGCTCTGATAGATGTAAGTAATGGCGGTGTGGATCTGTTGCCTGGAGAAAGACTTCTCGACCTTGAGTATGCGGATGATACTGTCTTACTGTGCGATAATGCCCAAGGCATGCAATGTGCACTTAATCAGTTGGCAATCAGTGTCCGTAGGTATGGTATGTGCTTTGCACCTTCGAAGTGTAAAGTACTTCTACAAGACTGGCAGGATTCTAATCCTGTATTCACCCTGGATGGTGAGCAGATAGACGTAGTTGAGAAGTTCGTGTATCTGGGTAGCTGCATAAGTGCTGGTGGGGGTGTGAGTGATGAGATCAATGCACGAATAGTGAAAGCCAGAGCGGCTTATGCTAATCTGGGCCACCTTTGGCGCCTTCGTGATGTTAGTCTGGCTGTAAAAGGTCGGATCTACAACGCGTCGGTCAGAGCAGTTCTGCTCTATGCTTGTGAAACCTGGCCTCTCCGAGTTGAGGACGTTAGACGACTTTCTGTGTTCGATCATCGCTGTCTCCGAAGGATTGCTGACATTCAGTGGCAACACCATGTCAGTAATGCAGAGGTTCGGCATCGTGTGTTCGGGCACAGAGATGATAATTCAATTGGTGCCACCATCTTGAAACACTGACTTCGGTGGCTTGGACATGTTCTACGAATGTCGTCCCAGAGAATTCCACGTCGTGCATTATTTGCCGACTCTGGGACTGGTTGGAAGAAGCGGAGAGGTGGTCAGTGCATGACATGGTGTCGTGGTATGAAAGAAAGCTGCAAAGGACTGGCTTGTGTCGGTCCTTCACGACTCCCTGGTTGGGGTCCGAGAGATGGTGCTACACAGTGGCTAGAGACGTTATCAGATATGGCTGAGAATAGAAGCCAGTGGCGATCCTGCTGTAACCTTCTTTTACTTTCTTCATAAAAAGTGGTTGTGTCTCCTTTACCTGAAAGATTTCTTCTGATTGTACCTTTTCGTTCCGTCGTTACTACCACACTACCTTACTCCAATCTCTTCGTCATTGTTCTCTTTTTCTTTTGCGCTCTTAGTTTTTTTTCTACGTCTCTTCGAATTCTCATTGTTTTGTGTGGCGCATATATATTGGCGCTCCCTTGTACCAATATTCATGTGTTCAAATAAATAAATAAATAAATAAATAAAATGAGGTGTCATAACTCGTCTAAATGAAGACCTGACTCCCGGGGCAGAGTTTAAATGGTTTGAATAATTTTTTTGGTTGGCGTTTTTTAGCGAGTTAGTTTTCTACGGGATGGGGTCACTAACCCATGCCCAACCCTCTTCTTTTATCCGGGCTTGGAGTCGGTAGTAGCCCCAGAGGGGTTCCAGGCGGAGTTTGCTATACGTCTTACTATTCCCTAATTATGTTTAATTAGTTATGCACTGTGTCCTCCGACTTAGTGTGCTCTGTTCTTAGGCATTTCAAGTATATTCTTGTATAAGTATTGATCCATGGTCGAAATGGGTACAATAGAGAACAGATCTACTTTTATCTGAATCTTCTGATTTGCTAGTGTGTTAGAAGGAACCTGAGGACCAATAAGCATTAAGGCATTGATTGTTATTCCTTGGTCAGTGTATAAATCCTTGAAATGCGTCGCCAGTTCGATTGGCACTATAGTACGTGGTATTGTTTGGAATCTCTAACCATAACATATTTCACGCCTTCCCAAAATATAGTATTTTCACTCACTGCCAATCATTATCGGCTCCTCATTTAAAACCTCAAACATTTTGAACTACTTATACTAACTACATTCATTTGCCTTATTCACTGCTGTCTTTGGTTCGCTAATATGGATTATTACAAATTTGTGACCAAAAGTGCATCTGTGTCAATTAAAAAATGTTGTTCCTTCAGGCAATCAGTTATTAACGTATTTTGGACTAAATAAACTAATTTTCTTAATGTACAAATATTTTCAGGGAGAACATTGATAGCTTGACATAATTGACTAAAAAGAAACTCCCTCAAAAAAGTCTAACAATACTTCCTTTCTAAACAAATCTCACCGGATAAACTCTTCATTTAGTTTATTGAACTGTAAAACAAGTGATTCAATGGGTTTCGACTCAAATGGACCGGTGGAAATAGATTTAATTACAACACGCAATTCATCTATCTCCGAAATCTGGGGTCGTAAGGATTCAATACAGTCGAAAATGTACTTCTTTACATCGGGATTATCGCAGGTCTAAAAATGAACAGATTGAGAAGAAAGCGTCTTAAAAAAGGGTAACGCTAATGACCTCAATATTATCTTATCAACCAATTGTCCTAATTTGTTTGTAGGAAGAATAAATGCTCCCTGAAAATTATCTTTAAAAAATATAAGTCATGAATCCTACAGCTTTCTGACACACAAGTGCAAGTCCACAAGTGCTTCTGGAAAACTGTACTCACTTCACCTATTTCTGGTGGCTTGGGAAGACTGCGCTAGTCTACTGTGCACATTGATTTGATTCTGAAGAGGATATTAAATACAACTGCATCGACTTATTTACTATGGTTTTGCGCACAAGTGTTGACAGCTCAAATGAATAATTTTGTAGTTAAAAGTCACTGAAATTAATCGATATAAGATCGGACCAACTTCAATGTGATTTAATCCTTCTGGAGTCTTCACCCACACATCTTTATTACAATACTTTTCTTTTTCCTCTCGCATAGTATGGTGGGTTCTCATTGAAGTATTGCACATTTGTCATTTGGCATATCCAGTTCATATAGATCGAGTTTCATGTTAGAACTACCCAATCATTCGCAACCTGGACTCACTGTACAACAGTGATCCAAAACACTAGCATATATATATACAATGCAGTCCCGTGAGCAGTAATCACTAGGCCACGTAGCATCGTTGCATATAACCGACTAACTAATATCCTATTTATTGATTTCAACAGTCGAAAACGTGTTCATAACATTATCGAGTCCTATTCTATATGTTCCTCCTCAGCTTTTAATAAAGTTGTAGTTTAATATCAAGAAACTACAGGTAGTAGGATGCATTACTGGAAACAAAATAGTTATTTAGCTGCTGTATTTGAATCAGTTACATCCCAGTAGTTTTCTATGTCAAACTATGTTTCACAAAGCTTAATACGCCACACGAAACTGTTCGTAATATTTGTTTGTGGCTGTTCAGATATCACATCTTGCACAAGATATGCTGGTGATGTAGTAAGGCCATTCAACTATTGTATTATTTGTCTACTCACTGTAATTTAGACACTTAATTCACTATGTTAATTTCTGTGTGTATCACTGAGCGCGTGTCTGCACATCAATCTTTAATCTATTCCCCATTGGTTGTAACACACAGATAATCAATAATTTATCCACACTTGATTAACACTCATAATACATATCGATTTTTAACTCACACTTATACACACACTTTGTTTCGCTGTGTGCTTGCAGATTTTATTAATCTTTAACAATAAAGTATCTCTACAACTGGTGTTCAGGCTTCTGAATAATCTCGAGCAAATCCATAACTTTACTAGGAGATTAAGCCAGCGTTAAATACTCAGTTAATGGGATATCATTCATTGGAGTCAGATATAGAGAGGAAATTAGCCTCCACAGTTACTTAAAAGTACGAAGGAATTTAAGTAAACACACTGATTGATCCTAAGAACAGTTATACTAGATACAAGAATAGACAACGAGGAACCTAATGCTACTTAATAGAATATATGAGTGCCCATTTAAAGTATAAACTTGGACGGAACAATTTGAAATCCTATCACCTAGATATTTACACAATAGTGATCTCCACAACTTAATGAAACTAGCGACTGTTATATCCCAATGAGAATAAAGAATAGTAACTGTCGGAATCTATTTCTGGGCTAACACTATACGTATATTTTTATCGTATAATTGTTAAATAACTAAAATATTCATATCCATGTTCCCCCTACCATAAGCTTTATTTTGACCTATGAATTATTATTATACGATTTACCATTCTTCAGTTATGCCCAGTCTATCAATTACTATATCCCACATTTACAGACACTTTTGACTGAATCTTGTACAAATGTTATTTTCTATTTTATGGTACGATGTGGTCTAGATGGTTTGCATATAAATTCAGTATGTTTGAAATACATGATTCATATCGTGGAGGCTGAGATTGGTGTTTTGGACTTAACAAGCAGGAACAATAAGGACTCTAGACTCCTCGTACGGGTTTTATGCATTATTGGTCCGATCGATAAATTACGGTTCTCTAGCTGGCAGTATGATTACGTTACACATTATTAGGGCACAAGACCGCAAGTTATAACAGCGATAACTCGCAAAAGTGTTATCTTATTTCCATTTGACAGCTGCTACTTTAGTATGATGACCGGGTTTGCAGAACTTAGTTGAGCCCTACTGATTGAAATGCATGTTTTGTAAGGTCTTACCGCACAATCATTGAAAGACGGGAGAACTAAGAATGACTAATGCCATCGTGCAAATAACTGTTTATTCAACAGAAAGTTGGGGAACTAGAAAGTGTTGTTTGTTTGGAAATGACGACAGCAGTAGGATACTTTGGTCTGGTAACTAGCACTGAGTTATCTAGTATTCCCGACCTAGAAAAATTTAAGAATCTGGAGGGAACCAGATTTTTCTTTGTTTGACAGCTTTCGATCGGCAGCAATAAGGTTCGTTAAATAAATGATAAAACTGCCTAACGATCACTGCCTATGAAGAACCCATGTGAGCAGTGGCAAAGAAAGTGCTTAATGACTTATGTCGTCCGGAAACCTACAAGATGTCGGCATACACAAAACGCTACACTCTTAATCATACCAAATTTTTCCTACCAATCTGTGGTCTTTATTTTTATTCTTTCCCCATTTATAAAACAAGAAGTATTACAGTTTTTCGTAAATTTGTTTCGGTCAGTCAGTTACAACCTGTTTACTTTACGACTATTAATGACAGTCTGACCCTATGAAACAACAGCAACCGGGGACAGCCGGAAAGGATTTCCCAAGACAGAGTTTGATGGGGGTACTTAGTGGGCGGCCTATGATCCTCCTCGAGGGGTAACTAAGTGTGTGGACCTCATTACAATTTGGTCGATTTCTATAAAAGGCTATATTCAGTATCAAGCAATTACCTCATGCAATTTTGGAATTTTTCGTATAAAATAACATGGATTTAAGCATTTTTACTTAAATAGCCAACTGTAATAAGTGCGCTATCTTTATTTTGACTGCATAATGATAATAGTGTTAATAACCTCTTTTGATCCATAAGTAAGACTGAAAAGGTAAGTGTTGGAGAATTAAAAGTTATGCATACTTTTTTTTAAGAAAAATCAAAACGCCGGGAACAGACATGTCAGTCTCTGTGCAAGGAAAAAGTGATAATTCTTCATTGCCTAGACGATGGACTAATCGAAAGCACAAGCCAGTCACTCAGTTGCAGTTGGACCCTAGCACCAGATCCTACGAATCTGCTCAGAGGGGAGGTGTTAGCGGGGCATAGACTAGACTAAAGCATGCTCAATGCATGATTGCTTTGGTGCACGCTGATTGGCTAATTCTTATCCAATCAGCGCTAGTCGATAGTTGGAGAATATTCTGGATTCTTCTTATGTAAAAACTATAAATATACCGACGTTTTCCCCTATTGTGCTTCCTACTGGCTTCTGACTTGCTATTTGGAATATAATCTTTTTCCTGTTCAACCGTGTTCTGATTTGGGGACTTGTCGAGTGAATCGGTGTCCGAGAATACTAAGCAATAGGAATAGCTGGGTCATCAACCGTTAAGAAATCAGAGTATAACAGTGGCGACGGGGAAAAATTAAAGAAAAATGGCGATTTCTTTAGAACAGTTGCGGTTAATATTACAGCACCAGCAGAAGTTGTTAGCCTTGCAACAACAACTATTGAACACACTTTTCACTCGACCAGAAAATAAGAAATCTGTTTATGATGCAGTAACAGACATTTCAGAAGCATATCTAGTGGAGGGTTCAAATCCCTTTATACCTGAATCAGAACGTAATATTTGTAACGTGTCCGGCTCACAGCAAGAAAATACTGTGCTGAATGCACATGAAGTTGTGACAATACCAGATGATCAGGAGCCAGATCCTGTAGATGATGCCCAGAGTCCAGAATCAAATGAAACACTACTGGTACTGTCTAGCTGCGAAAATAAACGTCAGCTCGAACAAAATTGTGGTCCACGTGCTATTAGTCAAGAAAGCTATGGTGACTCGTATTCAGAAAATAACTGGAGCAACACAATGAACCAAATTGTACCAGATGTTACTCAAAATCACCGGAAGACAGAATTTTATATTGAGTCAACTTATCCCATTTCTAATGACAGTGTACCAGATATTGATTCTCAGAATAATGCATATGATTTTGATGAACCTTCTTATAACAATGAGGGAAATATGTCAGCTGAGTCGAATGATGGCCAAAAATCTAATCTAATTCTGTTAGACGTTGACTTTCTTAATGACTCGTTATCAGCTAACGAGATTCATAATGAATTTGAAAATAATGAACTCAGATCAAAGGTTGTTCATCATCATCTAGTCATTTTTAGTGGATTCTCCAGTCAATACGAGAAACATGGTTTAAATAAAGTCCTACTAGTTATAATTTGGAGCCATAAGGACCCAACATTATTTCGAGGAGGAGGAGAATGTTGGAGAATTAAAAGTTATGCATACTTTTTTTTAAGAAAAATCAAAACGCCGGGAACAGACATGTCAGTCTCTGTGCAAGGAAAAAGTGATAATTCTTCATTGCCTAGACGATGGACTAATCGAAAGCACAAGCCAGTCACTCAGTTGCAGTTGAACCCTAGCACCAGATCCTACGAATCTGCTCAGAGGGGAGGTGTTAGCGGGGCATAGACTAGACTAAAGCATGCTCAATGCATGATTGCTTTGGTGCACGCTGATTGGCTAATTCTTATCCAATCAGCGCTAGTCGATAGTTGGAGAATATTCTGGATTCTTCTTATGTAAAAACTATAAATATACCGACGTTTTCCCCTATTGTGCTTCCTACTGGTTTCTGACTTGCTATTTGGAATATAATCTTTTTCCTGTTCAACCGTGTTCTGATTTGGGGACTTGTCGAGTGAATCGGTGTCCGAGAATACTAAGCAATAGGAATAGCTGGGTCATTAACCGTAGTAAGAAAACAGAGTTATAACA